AGGTGGGCACGTTAATGGGTGGATAAGTTAGTTGGTAGGTCATGGCGTCTTGGGTGGGTAGGGGAGTTGGGGCTGGCCTAAAGAAGGCTCACATTAGGAGGTGAAGATGTTTTCAATGGTCACAGTTAATTGATATTCTCTTCATCATGCCTCCATTTACAATCTTTGCTGAACGAAAGTTAGAAAATCTTTTGGAGATTTCCGTGAGAGGTTGGTATATACTATAAACATTTATTGCTCTATTCGAACTACAGAATGAACCCTTGAATGACTAAACATTACCTGTAATGTATTCTACCCGTAATGTATTCTGCTCTACCTGTAATGTATTCTATCTGTAATGTATTCTACTCTACCTGTAATGTATTCTTCCTGTAATATGATGTGTCATGAATACATAAACATGCCTACTACACCAGTGCATTAAGTATGCAAATTGGTCACTTTTTTTTTCATGAAGTCCGTTTGAATCTCCAATAACATCTATGTGTATTTTAAGTGAGACCCATTCTTATTAATATTTATTTGTTCTGATATCCCCACAAAATATTTTTTATCAGATATTACCAAACATTAGTACGTTTTAATCTTATCTTGGCATAATTATCAAGTGGTAGTTTCCTCAGAAATTTTCTTAATATTGTAACTCTGCCAAATGATGGGTAAATTGGGGCTTACAAAAGGTGAAGGTCACAGAATACCATGTTCTTCAATCATGTTGACCCTATGCCTTTATCATTGTATCACACAAAATTTGACAAAAATATGGAATTAGTTAATTTTTTATTGGACAAACATTGTGCACATACCAGTGTAAAAGCATATTTGCTCCCAACTAATCTTATGTCCTTTTAAAAATAGAGTCAATTTTACTTACTTTCTTTTAAAAAGATCTTTGATTGATAAAATCTTATTCAAGGTGGGAGCTTCATAGATACCATTCACTTAACAACTTCTACAAAACAAAATAGGATAGCAATCAAAGTAACCCAATTTTGTATTCCAACACATTACTTGACCTTACTGTACAAGAACATATATTACAATTTCCTTGCATAATTCTTAGACCAACGGAAGTATACACCAGAAACTTGTGTTTGTGACCAAAGTAATAAGTAAAACGGTGACCACAATGTCTCATGGTACATAGTATGTACTTAAGTTCAAGGTCAAAGGTCATATGGGGGATGGTGTTTCCGCGTTTTTCATTTTGATACGTGACTCAGTGACCTCCATATGAAGTTTGTTGACCTTTATGACTTTGAGATGTAGGCTAGAAATCTACATAAACTGGCAGATGCTAAAGGTCACTTAAAATTTGCAATATTTGATATATATATATCAAACCATTACATGTCCTTGTACTGAAACATCAAATATGACATCCATACACGAAACATATATATATTTATATATGTCTTATATGTATACTGTACCACGAAGACACAACTTCATTCACGCCAGAAGCATAATACGTGACCTATATTTGAAGAAAATACATAAAAAGTAGAGTGATCCAACTTCCACTTGGTATAGCTAGCTGGTATGTGTATTAGGAGAAGAAGGAAAAATGGCTACCAAGGAATACTAATAGAGCTCCATAGATGGGACAAGGTATCAACACACGGGATTCTGTAGTCATTTAATTTATTTATGTGTACATGTTTCGGATGGCTAGGCTATCTGTCATCAGAACAATTTTACATCGTAAAAAGTTCAGCTTAAGTACAAATTACGGTTCAGGGCCCTAATTGTTATATCATGTGATGTACCATTGTATGGAATTTACTCTAGTCATTAATAATACAATTGTTTTTCACATAATAATAGTCATTAATAAAACAAAAGTTTTTCGCATAACGAAGTTAATTCATGTAGAAATGAAAGCATGTTAAGAACATGATAAGACCTATATTATTAAATGTTACTTAATCACATGTATAAATATAATTGTTAGGTTTGTTGCCACTACAACAATCAGAGTCATTTTTAACAGAGTTTTCCTTGAAGTAGCTGATGGCTTCCTCACTGAACAGCAAATCAAAGGTGTGTCACATGCCACCCAAAACATGGGTGAAATGTCGTGCCCAAGGACACAAAAATCACAGTGCAGCTTCCTGAGAAGTACACACTACCACAGTTTGTCAGATCACACAACACAACTTGGATCACACCTGAGATACGTAGTTCAACACTCTTTAGCTTAATTTTTATAATCTTTGCCATTGAAGTTCCCTAATGCACATCCGTACACATTTCCTTCATCTTTTACCCTCTGTTCTGGTGTAAACTACAAAACATTAATGATTCTGCACTGGTTCACTCAACCGGGACCATATTCATTTTGATCTTTGATTTAATATACCTGTAACACAATTTACTCTTATCACACCTTGCACAATCTGTAGCCATCTGTCAATAATCAGACCATGTGACCATGATTGCCTACATCCAGCATCAGTCTTCTTTTGATCCAACCTCCAAAAATATCTACTCCTTGGCCTTATCTTCATCTCCTATCATGCTTGCATTGATATATTTTTGCTTAGTATTTTTGGTCACAGTTTAGCATTTGCCATCTAATTATTAAAGCGGCTATTACCTTTGATTTCAACATCGGGAAATGGAGAATTCGGCTTATGAATGATAAAATATATCCATAATAAAGCGATACACGCACCAATAACATCAAATTTGTTGTTTTTGTACCTATTTTTGGCATCGGAACATTGTTTATCTTGACTATTGTTTATAAACATGTTCACGCTTGGTTGATTACAAAGAAAGCTGAGTGGGTCACATGGCTTGTAACACTATTGGGGAAAAAAATGTTTTATATTGTTTTTAGTGGTGTTTTTTATTATCATAGTTGCTTCAAAGTGGAATTTGCGAAGCTGCTGCTTGACTGGTTAACTTAACCATCTGTCAATGATTATAATCCAATATCTGGTGTTTGATGCATGAATATGTTATGAACAACACTACTAAAAGTGTTATCTGATAAATGTTGAATGAAAACAGTAACGTTATTCGTTTGAATTTTCTATCGACAACGTGTGTTTGTTGTTGACTGCAAGGTGGGGCCCAATTGGGGGTATTCCTTCTAAGTGTCAAAATAAATAAACAAAAATAACGACCGTGGTGATAAAAACATAGTCTTCATTATAAACAGTGCAATATCTCTATTAATATGTACAGAAAAGTATCAATTCATCTGCATTTCTGTACAATGAGTTTTTTTCTTTTCTGATTATAATTACCCCCTTTGGGGCCCCACTAGTTTAGCACCTGCGATTGACATAGATAATTCTCGCATGACAAAGCCAAACCAAAACGAATTATCAAGACTGACCGTTAAAAATTATATATTATAACACTATATAATCATTTACTGCAAACAAGAATTAGTAGAAAGGCTCAAAAGCAAGCGTCATACATAAGACGTGTGCATTTATTGACCACGTAATTCATTTTTTCTTTGAGGTGGAATTAAATGACTTCATCACATGACAAGCCATGTGACCCACTCGGCTTTCTTCGTAATTAAGCGAGCATGAACATATTTATAAACAATAGTCAAGATAAACAATGTTCCGACACTGAAAATATGTACAAAAACAACAAATTTGACATTATAGGCAAGTGTATCGCTTTATTATGAATATATTTTATTATTCATAAGCGGAATTCTCCATTTCCTGATGTTGAAATCTAATGATTAACTTCTCAGAACTGAGAGTGTAAAATTACAAATACAGTAATAGCTGTTGCTTTTAATTATTCAAGTTTTCAAAGTTTAGCGAAAATGGTGATGACGAAAAAAAGATACGTTTTTCACATAAGTCATGAAAAATACTTTAATTTTGGGTGTTTCTTTTTTTAATTGCTTTCTAAGAAGGTATCCAATTATAGGCCTACATACCAAATTTTATGGAAATCTTACAATATTTAAATTTTGACCAATCAGGGGCCAGGAATTAGCAGCCACTGTATGTCTTTAACAAAAAGAAGATCACAGTTAGATTCATATTTTCAAAGTATCTTTTTCACAAATATTTTTACATCCTTAAAAAAACAAGATAAGAACCACCCAACATAAATTGACGTTCCAGTGCAATTACAGAATAAATTCTTACACAGAGTGACACCAGCACTTTATTTCAACATTTTATAATATCATATGGTATTACATTATCACAATATTTTTTGTTTTTATTATTTTTATTTTTCAGGTTTTTTTTCATTGGTAAAAATCAAAACAGACATTACAAAAACCAACATTGGTACATTACAATGACATGTTCTTTAATCATTATACAACAAACTCCATCAATAATTATTATCATTCTTAACGGCCCATCAACACATCCAAGGTCATCAGGCCCATCACACATCCAAGGTTATCAGGCCCATCAACACATCAAAGGTCATCAGGGCCATCAACCGGTGAAAGACACAGTGATCCCAAAACCCAAACAGAGACACATAGTAACACTTTCCTTTCATTCTCCATCCACACATCCTCACACACTCCTTCCCTGTCACATATACATATATATCATCACTTTCATATATTGTCATACAAATATCAATACTGGTTGCCCGCTCCCTCCTAATACATAAAAAAAAACTCAGAAAGGTAGGCGGTAATGAAATACCCAACTAATTCCTGAATTTCTCTGTTGATGTGAAATCGTTAAAAGGACATTGGAGGATGAAAATATATTTATTTCAAATCTCTTTTTGATTCAGTTATCTACCAAATTCTTAGCACATTCTCTCCTACATTGGTTGAGATGATTTTCTCCCTTGCTGCTAGCTATGTATTTGGAACTGTGTACGTTTCTTATAAATTTAGACACATTTTAATCTATGTATAACTTTATTATGAAAATTATCACATTACCTACTTTTCTGTTTACATAATGATTTCAACAAAAAGAAAGGATTTTTTTTTATTAAAATCAAAATGGAATAAATGAATAATGAAAGAAGGTTGCTTAATTTTGGAGCAAATTTTTAAGTTTATTGCAATTCCATAAAATATGTTCAATTGTTCTAATTTCTGTAATAATTACAATGAAGTTATTACTGTATAGACTATATGTAAGACCTACTTTGAATAAATAAGAATTTGTTGTCAGGATTAATCCCAGATTGCATCCACTGCAATTATGTGTTCTTTGTTTCAGAAATGGGAAGCTTGAATATATTTGCCAACCATTTCCATCAAATTCAAAATATTCATCCAATTTTTTCATACCATTTTCAATAACTTCATTTTTCATGAATATTTTATAGAAATCTTTCATACCCTTTCATTTAAAAAAAAAAAATATATTTGTAAATTTCTTCACATGAATGACGTATTTATCTTTAGATGGGTTTAGCCTTGTTGGTCCTTTATAACTGTTATAATACCTGATATTAATAAAAAAAATTATTTTTTTACTGTATATCTGTGTGAATTTTAAAGTCTTATAAAAATCTATGAGAACTCCTTATTATATCATTAATGACTATCACTCCCTTTTATACCAATCTTTGTAAAACACAAAAAACTTTATCTATCTTGATTCTTTCATTAAACCAAATAGTCATATTAGAAACTGATTTTTTGGTCTGAATATTCTTCTTCTTTCCATTTCATAACACAGGGAAATATACTCTGAACCACTGTTTGCAGGGATGTCTCTGTCACTATATGAATCCAAAACTGCTTGCAAGAGACTCCTGTTGTAAATAACCTCCTAATCCAAGCTTTAATGACGTTATGAATGATCTAATATGAAGCATTTTGAGCTCATTCTAATTCATGAATTACAGAATTATTGCCCTTTTGTGTAAAAAGCATAACTTTGACCACAGTTGAGCAAAATTCATGCAACTATGTGTATTCTTTAGTCATACTAAGGTAATGTGCAGTGTACCACACTCAGGGTCCTAAACCCCTCAATTAGAGAGTTATAGCCCTTTGTTAAAATTTTGTGTCCAGAGCATAACTTTGCTTCTTTTTACGAGAGGTTATTGAAAATTGGTGCATACATCGATCATACTATGATGATCTGCAATGTACAAAAAATCAGGGCTTGCAACTCTTTAACTGCAGAGTTATTGCCCTTTGTTAAAATTATGTCAAGAGGACAACTTTAAATTGCTTGCATTTAAACTAGGATTATGAAACTTGGTGTGTAAATTGATCATACTAAGACGATGTGCAGTGTACCAGATTCAGGGCCCAAAACCCCCTAAATTACATAGTTGTTGCCCTTTGTAAAAATTCTTGTCCTTAGCATACCTTTGCTTTCATTTATGCTAAAACCTGGTGTATACATTGAGCATACTAAGACAATGTGTAGTGCACCAATGTTTGGACCTGCCAACCTTAAATTACAGAATTATTGCCCTTTGCTAATATTTTGTGTTTGCAGCATAACTTGGTCTGCATTTGACTAGGATAATGAAACCTGATGTATACATTGATCATACTAAGAGGATGTGCAGCATATAAAATTAAGACCTGCAACACTTTGATTTCAGAGTTATTGTCATTTGTTAACATTTTGTGTCATAACCATTACTCTTACTTGCATTAAAACAAGGATAATGAAACTGGTCATTATAAGAGGATGTGCAGTGTATTAACTCAGAACAATCAGAATACAATCATATATCATTCTGAAACCTTTGACCCTATACATGTACTTAAATGTATAATTGAGATATCTCTATGCTATTTGACCCCATTCTTAACACTCTGTTACCTTATCTTGAATAAACTTATAACCTTTCTGTATGATTTTATTCCCTCTTCATTCTTACTCCTTTTCACCCCATGTTTATCATCACTCCCTGACTCATCTTCTAACACTAAAGGTCATTCTGAGTTCCTTTAACCTTCCAAAAACAGCCTATATGACTTGACACATACGATTTGCTATCTCTGTCTCTGCTGATAACTGTAAGTTTGTCTAAACTTTGTAAATACAGTTAGATTTGTTGTAAAACTTGCAACTCCAATAATATTGCAGCCCTTTGTCATGATGAGTTTAATTTTTCTTCGATAAGCTGAGTCCAGCAAAGTATGATTACAAAATACTGACATGGCTTTCTTCCTTGTCGTCCTTTGTCATGACGAGTTTTTCTTCTGTAACGTTAGTCCCGCAAAATCTGATAATAAAATATTCACATGGTTTACTTCCTCTCTTGTGGACACTTGTTGAAGTTTGTCACACAGACGATCTAATCACAAACCTGCCAAAAAATTTTTTTAATTTGTCAATTCATACATATTTGTAACGTATTTTCATGTGTAATGAACGTAGCAACTGCTTTCGTCTTTGAGAACCAACATATCTTATGTATGTAAACAGATGTTAAGTAATTATGTCATCTGGTTGCTTTCGTCTTTGAGAACCAACATATCTTATGTATGTAAACAGATGTTAAGTAATTAAGTTCAAATAGGTTTTCATCATATCACAAACCTGCCAAAAAAATGTTTTAATTTGTCAATTCATACATATTTGCAACGTATTTTCATGTGTAATGAATGTAGCAACTGCTTTCGTCTTTGAGAACCAACATATCTTATGTATGTAAACAGATGTTAAGTAATTATGTCATCTGGTATAAATCACTAAATAATGACACACTGGCAGTCTGTGGCCTGTTGAATTTATGCTATCCATTCCTGATATTTGAACTTTTTACTCTGAAAACTGTAATAAATAAATTGGTTAACAAGATCTTAAAAACTGAAACTTGGATCTGTTTCATCTAACATGTTTTTATCCGACAGTAGCATACCTTTCAACAGGTTTCTCTTTCAAAAAGAAAAGTTTCTGCATTTGGTTTTCAAGAAACCTGAATACCAAATTTATGCCATGGGCATATTTTTGACAGTCAGAGTAGGATCTTAAATGATATTATGTAACTCATTCTCTGTTTGAATTTACTAGTTCAATATCTGTATATGCCAAGCATCTTATGGCAAAAAAAGAGAAAACTGGACATTTTGTCATTAGTGATAAAAAAAATATGTATATATATATATACAGTGTATGTGTGACTGAAGGAGTCTTTAAGGGATGATATTATTTTGTCTAAGTATATTATCTTCAGTTTGCAGCAGGCTTTGGTTTCATTACCTGTAGTGCTTCATCTTTGACCTGTTGAGATGAATAAACTTTAGATTCCGAGAGAAACTTTAAGCGTGATTTTCCAACTGTAAGAGGCGTTCGTCCATACTTGTCTACAGATTGCAAGTCAGTGCCAGCCTTAAGCAGCAGAGTAACAATTGGCACTTTCCCTGTACATGCTGCAAGGTGAAGTGGAGTATTGCCAACAGCATCTTTCTGGTTTGGATTAGCTCCCTTTTCTAATAACGCTTTCACAATATTTTCATTGCCCTGAGATGCTGCAAAGTGTAATGGTGTCCTTTTCTTTTCATCATAACAACAAGTATCAATACCACTCTCTAATAAACTTAAAACTACACTTGAATCATTCTGATTTGCTGCCATCCTTAAACGCCGTTCATCTGCTATGTTGCTTTTACTGTAGGGCTTTCTATGAATACGTTCCGAGCAATTAGTTTTAAATTTGCCTTTATGCAATGATTGGTCATATTCTGGTGTGTAATTTGAAGCAAATGGAACAAGGCAGAGATAGTCAACACCAGAACTTTCAGATTTTGGACTCCAGGATGTCACATCAAACTTGGGAAAGCCAGTGTCATCATCCTGCATCTGAAAAAAAATAATGCATATCAAGTGAGCCAGGCTATCCTAATGTACTACAAAGATATATAAACAAGTTTTTATTTCAAGTTCACAAGCCTTCAGTCAAATATAAACTTCAATAGAATAGGCAAGAAATTGGCAGGATCACGTTTGTTGAATTCATAATTAATGTATATATATATTTTGACTGAATTTTCACCTTTAAAAATCATCTTATAATTTTTATTTAAGGTGAGTCAATATTACTCGGCCAACTCAGTAGGGTTCAAACATTTGATGTGATATAAATCTGTTATATATTTTGGTGATAAAATTGTAAAACACAGGATTTGCTTTTCACTTCCATCGCCAATAGGGTTCCATGTCCGAAATGGACACCAAAAGTAGAATTGGACCAGCTGCCCAACCACGACCCCATTTTTCTCTGGGTACTCATCATAGATTCTTTCCACATTAAGAAACCTAAACAGCCAACAAGAGTGATAAGAGCACTACAGGTGCCTGAGTGGAGGTCTTCAAAATCTAGAATATGGAAATAAAATCAGTGACTAGACTGAGTGACCTCCCTTTCTATTTATGTTGCCTTTATCTTTGCAATTGGATGGTTTGAAAACTGTAAGCAGTATTCAAATGGAGAAATGGTCTTTTTCAACCAGCTTTTTAATAATTCCATGAAAAAATCCTTGGACTGGATGAACAAGATTAGAGTTACCACAAATTTTGCTGTGGTGTATAGTGTCTCTCCCTTTTTGTCTTGGTTACGACAAGTTACAATGCAGCCACTTGATCTCTTCTTGAAATTTTCAAGAGCTGGTTGGATGACATAAGAGTTACCTCCCTTATATGAACGAATCGCAAATACTTGATTATGGCAAGTTATGGCTTCATTCATTGATACTATTCGTTTTAAGAATATTTAATTTTCAGACTAAGTATAGTTTGCAGAATATATGTTAGTTTGGAATTAAACATTCTGTCTAAGACAAGACAAAAGAGCAATTTTGGATATAGAAATTACAATAGAAGAACAGAGATCTCAACACAGTATGTATATGAAATAACTCTGTAAAACCAATTAATTGACATTTCTTGTTTTAAGCTACACAGCAAGATTCCTCATTTTTTATTCATTTTGTTTCCAGGTCCCAGGACTTGATCCATCTGAGCAAAATTCTTTCGAAAGTAAAAGGCATGGGGCATCCAAAAATGAAAGGCATGTAGGCATGGTTGCTCTGCACTTTACCCATAGCTAACTTAAGGTTAATAAAAAATACTATGACATTATTTTCACTTTCCTGAGTTTGTTTTACTTACCGTTAGTTAATACTTAACATTAAGATGCTTTCACACAAAAAAAAATTGACATAAATTATAATTTCTTATTCTTCCAAGTTTTCATCAGTGATGTTATGTTGAAAATAAACAGACACATTAAGTATCTGCTTGAAAAAAATTGCAAATGATTTGATGTTATTCTGATACTCCTGGGTTTACGATCACTTTTGATCACTGCACCCCTGAAACATACCATGGCAAAATTGAAGGCACAAGCAAAGTGATTTGATTCGATCCAGGAGAAAAAAAAACAATCACAAGCTGATATGATGCTTTTGAAGATTACAATGGCACAACATCCAACTTCAAAACCACTGCAATATACTGTTATGCGACCTTGCCATCAAAGGATCAAACTTCTTGTTTTCTCCACAAATTGTCGCACATGGAATCTCAGATAAATTCAAGGAGTGCAGAAAGCAAAAGTGACTGTAACCCCTGGAGTCAATGTATTAAAAAAATGGCAAGTGCAACTACTACTATGAATACAACAATGATGTTGCATATATTGTACAAATATATATCTGGCTACAAATTGTAGCAATCACTGACTTTTTAATTTTTATGCAAATTTTCTTTTTAGTCATGTTGGAGAGGACATACCTATAGCAAATAGAAATATCAGCAAATCAAAATGACAGAAATATCAGTCCTGACCTGTCGTTGTATTTTCGAAGGATAGAGTAGAAAACAATGGCAGGCAACCAGTCCAATAATGCCAACCAATATAATGACAGCATGTACACAAGCACACAAAATCTCACAATACTTGCATAATACCTTGCAGAAGCGTGGAATTTTTTCTTCATTATTTAAGCACTAAATAATAAACCAAAATTTACTGGTGATTTATATTTTGATACTCTCAACAAAGAAAGTCACTGTGGTATGTATATGTGCTGTCATTGTGTCATTTTTGGATAAATCAGTGTTGAAAATCACCAGTCAAATATACTATGTACAACCAGCGCAGCCTTCGATTATTAATCATCATTACTGTCCGCCATCAAGGAAGATATTTACATAAGGAGAATACATTCTGAGTCCAATGTGAGCTGGAAAACAGGCGTCTGTTCAACATTACTTACAGAATATTCCCCTTCTGAGCTGCTCATGTTTCCGAGTGAACTAGTACTGTCGCTATCATTAGCATCGTCCATGACAACCAGAATATCTTATATATTTTAGCACATATAATATTAAATAAGTTTCATGCAGCAATTGTCTTGTCTGTAATACAATGTTTCGCAAGGTTGACAAACCACATAGGCCTATACGATGGCTGAGCCACACCACACTCAGCAGCCGCTTACAACCCCATAAATAATAACAAGTTATGCTATCTTTACAGACATTATTTGAAGCAATTCAACGATTACAAATACTTATTTAAATAAGTAAGAAAAATATGTTACAAAGTTAAGCAAATACTGATAATTTTGTATCGAATGTAAAAAAATGATGACCTTAGCAAATGATGATGTAAGCGGCAACAGGAAATGTATCGTGGAGTTTTTCGTCTGCAGATTCGCGGCTTTGCCGTGGTGGAGATAAGGAAAATGCTCTTTGTTGGTTTCATACTTACATTATGGCCTATCCTTTTTGTTTTGCTATACATAGTCCTAAATCACATTGCCAAACCAAGGCATTCCGTCTGTATAATTGTTCTTGGCGATCTAGGCAGAAGTCCTCGAATGCTGTACCATGCGAAATCGTTTGCGAAAGAGGGTTATGAAGTTGATCTCGTTGGGTACACCGGTAAATATCGCTTAAACGAAATATTTCTTATATGTAATGTAATTCATGAAGTAATTTCATTATCATACACTGTATTTATTTATTCAGATTTGATTGAATACTGTCGCCAAAACAAGTTCTCTCTCTCTCTCTTTTTAAGGGATTTGTTTATACTTTTCTTTTCACATTAGAATGTTTAAAAAGTCATTCCATTTGCCGTGTTACATAGCAGAAATATAATATATTCTTCACACAAAGGCAACAATGTATCGTAAAAAGACTAACTTTCAAAATGAAAATAGAACTATTCTCGCACAAGTTTCCTCTGGCACTAAATTACACAATAATCAATCACATTTCAGTTGTCGGCTCCGAAATATGAGGTGAGACATGATTACCCCTTTCCGTCGAATATGTTGTCAGAGGCCAGAGGAAATTTGTGGTGAAAATTAGATAATTCTTATTTTTCCCTGATTAGAGTTGTATAACATTATCAAGCTTGTTTGATATTACTGCACCTTAAAGGCATGCATATTTTGCTACATGTGGCTTGACCGTTCCCATTTCAGTCAAGCTAAATTCTGAAAGATAGATTAGTGAAATATGATCAAAATATTAGGATGATGTATGGTATTACTGAGTAAAATAAAGATGACATGGATTTATCTAAGTGTAAATAAAAATCACATTACATTGATTATTGTCTTCGTTTTTATACTTATTTGCTACTTGAATACTTCATTACTATTTGTTTTGTTTTAGGCTCCAAGCTCCATGAAGACATACAGATAAACAGAAGGATCAATCGACATTATCTCTGGGAACCTCCAATTTTCGTGAAATGTAATAACATGATTAATTACCTTCAAATTATAGAAATTTTAGAACATCTCTGCTCTGTTTGTTAGCAGTTCAGTAGTCCATGGCTTGTTTCTGCATTTGTTTTATCCATTCTTGATGTTTGAACTTTTGTTTTCCTGAAAACTGTATGAGAAAATAAATTAATAATGTCATGCCATAATGAAAGAATAAGATTATTTGTTAGAATTGAAACAATATAGTCACAAAAATTTTAAGATTCAAGAAATTGGTATTTATGCTATGTCAGCCATCATCTTTTATCTTACAGATGTTCCAAGACTCCTCGCATATGTGTTGAAAGTATTCTGGCTAAGTACATCATTAGGCTTAAAATTATTGCTTCTCCCAAAGGCTAATTACTTAGTTATGCAGGTAAGAGTTATTACTACTTGGTTGATTTGATTGGACTTGAAATCATTCCCCGACTTCATAGAAAGCTTGGTAATATGCTGCCAATACTTGTTGCTGTTCAATAGTATTGCCAACAATTACTCTGTCATTGTCCTGTAATTAATTAGCTCACTCACAAACTTTGAATCAAAGAAGATGTGTCACCTCACAACGCACCATCTCTTCCAATCAAATTTATTATGATATTGTAATATTTTATGGATCATGTTTGTAATAAAGTACAAAATGCCTTTATTTTTTCTGTTGATTATGATTTATTTCGCTTTGAAAAAAATTCCTATATTAGTGTGGTTCAACGGTCTTTCCGTTATTATTTATGAAATGAAATGTTTTATATTCCAGAATCCACCATCCATTCCGACAATGTTTGTTGCCCTGATTGTATGCTTGTCAAGGGGCAGCATTCTCCTCATTGACTGGCATAACTATGGTTTTACTATACTTGCTTTGTCACTTGGTGTGAATCATCCCCTAGTCAAATTTTCCAAATGGTCAGTATATGTACATTGAACTTAAGGACATATGCTACATTAGTTGGACATCCTACTTATTCAAATTAGTGTTGCACCTTAATGCATGGATGTAAATACTTTAACGAATCAAATATGTAATTAAAGCATAAATGACATGCTTGAAATGTATTGAAGAAATATGCAGTTATTTATGATGTAGTCTTTGGTAGTCTTTTTTGAGTTCTGAATTAATTTCAATTTAAGACTTATGCAGGGAGATAACTCTAAATACTGATAGCTTGTAATTACCCAAATGAATGTACATATTGTTCTATAGGTCACTATAAACTACATTTTCTGTTGAACATAAACTGTTGTTGGGTAGAATAGTTTGAGCTCTATTTTCATGGAATGCATGGAATCAAATCCGAGACATGCAATGTTTGTTCGTGGTGATTCAATGAGACAGTGGACAGCACCTTCCAATTTCATGAAGACTGCTCAGTTTTAACCCCATATTGTAGCAAGGCAATGCTGCAAATTACAATCCTCCATTGACACACTGTCTTATCAAGAGGAACCCATACACCAAGCATGAAGTTCCATTGAAACTCATAGTATATAAGAGATTGAGCCTGGAAAAAGTTTTACTTTGATGTAGGTCAAAGGTCAAAATGTAGGTAAGAGCGGCCTACTTTTGATAGAGGACACACTCCCTCAACAAGATGAACCCATATTCCAAGTACAAAGTTCAAATGACAAGAAGCGTAGGAGATAGAGCCTAGACAAGATAGCAGAAAGATGGACAGTCGGAAGAACAGTCTGACACTATGAAAAATTCACTGACAGTTACCTACCATATACTACTCCTTAAGCTTGTGTGCTTTCATCTGTGCCCATCATGCATCATAAAATAAAGTTAATAGATCTTTATAGCACTATTGAATCCTACATATGTACAGTACTTATACATGTATTATATTTCATGAATATTGCATTTGTTTAAAATGTCTGACCTATTTGTTTCAGGTATGAGAAATTTTTTGGCAGATTTGCAAAGGCAAATATCTGTGTGACAAAAGCAATGCGAGATGATTTGAAAACTTGGGGAATAAGGTAAGGGCATTTACTACTGAACAGCAAAACACAAACTTAATATCTTTTCAGTTAGCTTAGATAGATTATTTCAACAAAAAGGAAAACAGTTGTTCATGTGTTTTTTTTTTTGGGGGGGGGGGGGGGGGGGTTTGTTTGTTTTTCATTATAGAAATTAAACAGATGCTTTTTAATGTACCTTAAACTTTTCAAATAAAAGAAATCATGTATTTATGTCTCTTCACAATAAGTGTTATAAGGCCATCTCCTTTGAATATCATTACCTGTATTTATCCAATTTGAAGAAAAGTATACACACATGCCTGGTAATATATCAACCAATATTTAGTGTGGAGTTAATGACAAGTGCTTTTTAATGTTCTGAATTTTACAAACTGACTTCTATGAAGATGTAACCATTACATAGTAAATTAGTAATTGGGTATTTTTTGCTCCAAATGCAGTGCAGAAACTCTATATGACCGACCAGCTGAACTGTTTCAAGAAGCTACAGTGGAAGAGAGACATGATCTGTTTAGTAAACTATCCTTGGCGTATCCCATATTTGGCAGCAGGTAGTCTTATAAATGCATTTTGACCAAAACAAAAGACTTCAGACCCGTTTTTTCTATGCTTAATGCTAAGATTAGATATACTGAAATATTATTTCAGGGAAATAAAAGAAGTTGTGATATTGTAGGATCATTTTGTTAGTTTCATCTTCAACCAGATTAATCTTTTGAAGATTTAATTCATCAGGACATCTTGAGAATTTCTGTTTGCAAATTTAAAAGTTGTCACAGTTGATCATCAGGTCCATTTTAATTGAAATATATTTGCTTGTGTTCAGTTGTTGCAACGCACAACACAAGAGAAGATTTCTTGTACCGTGATATTCTACCAATAAGTTGATTTGCAGCTCGTTACTTGGACATGTTTGTCATTTGTAGAAATGAACGGGAAAGAGATTCAACTGCCTTTACTTATCGGTCAGCCTCTGGAAAGATCCAGTACCGAAATGACCGCCCTGCTCTTTTAGTGAGCAGTACAAGCTGGACTGGTCTGTATTTGAAATATCAGAATTCTTTGGAATAAAACTTTTGTATGTCTGTATATAGCTTCAGATTTTGGCAGCCAATCAAAAAACAAGAAGTTCCATCAAGAATTTAAGTCCCATTTCTGATGGAATGTCAACTGAAAATATTCTATGAATATATGAAGGGAATTTTGGATATTTTTTATCAGAAGAATTGGTGATGCATGTAATGTTCACTATTGTTTAGATATAAACAAAATTTTGTCATCTGTATGAACAAGATTGGCTTGGCAACAAATGTATTTTTGTAGTAGAAAGATGTAAAAAAAAATCCTGCGTCTGTTGGAGAAACTAGAGACCTCTTGTTCCCCAAAGCAGACACATTTCTTCTTGGCAAAAGTGAACATAAAACAATAAGGAAGGATACTCAACATCCAGGAACTCTTGTATCTGTTTATTCTTAAGAATAAACCTCCGTCGACATGTTTCGACTGCTATGCAGTCGTCATCAGGACGGTGGTTCAAAATATTACAACAGCTAAAGTATACTTTTGCGGTAGTGAACATGACATGATAATGGACAAAGTGCAATGATAATTATGACGTAAACAATATCTTAACAATTCTCCGACAATATCAAGATGCTTTAAAAATTCTATGCATAGCAGTCGAAACATGTCGACGGAGGTTTATTCTTAAGAATAAACAGATACAAGAGTTCCTGGATGTTGAGTATCCTTCCTTATTGTTTTATATTCACATATTCTAAAGATCTCTATTGAATACCCTGTGGTATCCATCTAGGAACCATACCGCAATCTAAGACTTCAAGAGTGTTGGTTCTCCAACTTAGTTTTCTCTTGGCAAAAGGAAAGCTCTTAGCAGCTGAGACTATTAAGATGACCTGTACTCTTTACAACTACACTACAGTACTACAGACTTTTCACCTCTGTAGACTAGACACGCACTACCAAAGTTCTTTGGCTCGAACAAATCTTCTGAATCTTCTAAATCAATTACTGTTGAAGTGTCAACTTCACAAAGTCTGTAGTAAGAATGAGTGATTTAAAATATCCTGCTTCACCACTAGGTTGGGGACAGTTCCCACCAACCAAGGCAATCTCAAATATTCATACTCTCAGCTTCTACATTTTATGTGATTTTCAATATTTGCAATGTTCTTATCTGTTTTCAATATTATTCATTTTTTGAATGTGCATTTTCTATATGTGTTCAATTTTCAATATTTAGCCTCCTTGTTCCATTTCTTTTACAGAAGATGAAGATTTTGGAATTTTATTAAAAACTTTGCAAAGTGAGTATAATGCACATTGATATAAAATTTAACTTGTTCACCTGTTCAAGAACAAAACTTTCACTTTAGTCACATATGTTAAAGAGATGTTTGAAGTAATAAACTTGTTTGTGAAATGTTTGTATTACTATGGTTTGTAGCTGCCAAGCAGTGAATTGAAGTATCAATGATCAAGTTGGCACATCTTTTTAATTTGTTGTATCAAGGAAAGTAAAAAAGAAATTGAACTTCACATTTAAATGTTTGAGGTTTGAAACTTTTCGTTTTATTTTCAGAATACGAAGTTGCGGCTTCAAAAAATATGCAGAAAGGCATACCAGATATATTATGTGTGATAACAGGTTAGTGATTGATCCCATTTTTTAGCCCACCATCATCAGACGGTGGGTTATTCAAATTGTCTTTCGTCCATGGTCTGTCCATCTGTCCTAAACAAGTTTTATTGTTGCTATTTCATTAGAAGTACTGGATGGATCTTTCTCATTTCATATGTAGGTTCCCCTTGGTCCCTAGTTATGTCAGTTTGATTTTGGGACAGATCAGGAAAACAAAATGGCGGACAGATGGCCATCTTGGATATAAATCTGTTGCATTAATATTGTTTCCATTTACAACCAAATGTGAAATTTCACTAATAATCTAGAAATACAAATCTGTTAATTTCTTGTTTGTCTGATCACTTCAAGGTTGTTTTAAGAATGATTTTAACACTGATGAAATCCTGTTTGCCATCATGAAAAAAAAAAAACAAAACTTGATAGGTTAATGAAATGATGAGGTTTTTAAAATCTTCATTAAATATGATGATACCATGGCATGTAATAAGCCCGCCCCATATTTTATTGCTGTAGAGTACCAACAGATGTTATTTCTGTATCAGAGTTGGATGCCTTGTGTCGCTAACCTCAAGTCATCTAATATCTAATCTTATCACTTCAATATCAAGGATGTCAAGTGTTTTACAGTGTCGTTTAGATAATAGTCTTTATATAATCAATTCTATTGAGTAGCTGTCATATTTGTATGAAAGTAGATGATGTTCTTTGTATTGTTGCAAAAATGCTTTGTCTATATTTAAATCAAAAATTGATTGTCTAGTAAACCAATCAAAATTAAAGAAATATCAGGTGATGCAAGCATGTCATAATTTCACCAATATCAGTTTGGTTAAAATGAGGTGAGTTTTTGCTGACACTGTATTTGCCTCCTAGACTTATTGTAGAATAATTGTAGTACATATATATGACTTCAAACTTTTGAAAAAAAAAATTCAGAAGTTGATTTCCATTAAATCTTGACTGCTTTGTTTCATCAGTTTTTGAGGTTACATTTACATGTTATTCAGGTAAGGGACCACAGAAAGAGTTTTATAGCCAGGAAATTGAAAGCATAGAGTGGAAACATATACACTTCTGTCTACCGTGGCTTGAGGCTGAGGACTACCCTGTTCTTTTAGGTAAGTACAAGTTTATATATACGTTCATGTAATGATTTGATCCTACTAGATAGAATATGAGGGAGCTACATGATAGTCAAATTTTCTGTCTGTAACGTCATGCGTAACCTAATTTTACTTTGCGAAGGTTCCGATATTTTCTTCCACCTACAGGATCAGCTGACCTTGGTGTGTGCCTTCATAAGTCTTCCAGTGGCCTTGACCTTCCTATGAAGGTTGTTGACATGTTTGGTTGTGGTCTTCCAGTCTGTGCTGTACATTATTTTTGGTAAGAATATTTTTTTCTGTCATATGACAGAGGCAAGAAAAAGAATACAATATTAGTGAGATATTACATTGTTTGGTAAGAGTACCATATTTTCTGGGTTATAAGTTGCCCTGGTATAAACGCAGCAGAGCCAGTTTTTAACAATTTTTTCAGTTTGATTTGATCCATGTATTAGGTGCACGCAAAACCAAGCCACACTCTTTCTTAAATTATAGTTTGCTAATGAATTATACACAGATAATTCTTTAATTTGTTAATGTATTTCTAAAATCATTCTGATAATTCAAAGTATCGAAGTTGTTTGGCTTGAGGCCTTCAAAGATTGTCTACGCACAGATATAGGATATTTAAAATATTGTCTATGCACAGATATAGGGCAGTACATTATGCAAGGTTTACTAAACCATCTCTCTATCGGCGTCCATACTGTTCAGATGACAAAATTTTTATAATCCCATAATATTTCTTCTTGAAAGTTACATATAGCTATTGGTATTGTAAACAAGGATGGGGGTTGTTCTAGAATTTGACCTGTTACCTAATGTCTTATCGATCCCAAGGTACAATAGGCTATTGTAAAGTTTTGCCATGTCTTCTTGTAATTACTGTGCAGTAAATGTGAAAGTCAATAAGATGTTATTGGGATTCATATTAAAAGGTATGATCAATTAAACCCACGAGAATGTTAATTTTTATTGTAATTTTCAAAGCATTCTGTATATGATTACAAGTGGTGGTTCTACATGATCTGTTTCAGTCACAAACACATGGTGGGCAGATACTCATTAAAAAAAACTCTGTATTGTCTCATACAACACAGGTTTTTTTTTTTTTTGTTCATCCTGCCGATTTTCAACATGCCCAACCCACTAGAAAAAAAGTTGTGACTTATAATTTGGAATATATGGTACCTTATTTTCAACTGGAACAAAGACTTCTACAGATAATTGTGAACCAACTTGCACTGGAAATCTACATTTTAGATATGGCTTGTGCTATTTGCAACTCGGAAAATCTTATATTACTAGAGACATCAAATATACCGTATTTATTCTAATAAATGCCCCAGGGACATGCAACTACCCAAGGAGGGGGTATTTAACAGAACAGAAAATTTCACACAGAACAGAAAATTTCACACTCATTATGTCTGTGTAATGCTTCAAACATTGTTAAACAAATTAACATATGTTTAGGCATTGATGTAAGAAATTACACTAGCATAGATATTGTCATTTGTACTCCAAGTGATTATTACTTGTGTATGAAATGACAATTAGACAGAGTGTGTCAACTTCTATCAAGAGATGTAGTAATAAGGTCATGACCTTGTGTCCTCTCATCACTTGTATGTCATTATATAACATTAAAATAATGTCAGTCTATAACCATGCTGATCCCAACTCATCATCATTACCATGTCAGAAACCAGAATAAACTATGACATTTCCATTAAGCTTAAAGGTATTGCATATGCACAAGAAAAAGGGCAAATATGCTGTGACTAATGTGCTCCATATAGACAGAAAATTAGTGCGGGACTGGTGTCAGAACATAGATAAATCTAAATATCTTGGTACAACATCTAAGCTTTGTAAAGGAGGTGGAAGACCTGTTCGATATGAAGATATCGATAAAAGCTTGATGAAATGGCTGACAGAAAAGAAGCCGTCATACGTATGGGTGACAAGAAAGCTTTATGTTTATGGTACAGGGCAAATAAAAAATTACAGTGACACAAGCAGCTTATGCTGACAGCACAAAAATGGCCACTCTCGTACAATTGCTTGGAATTTGTCCTCTATGCAAATGCAACATCCCAAGCGGTATTGTTATATACATGTGCCGGGCGGGAGCTAAGTCATGGGCATATAAAGAAAGTATAAAGTTTTGGCTGAAGAAAATTTGGGGTGTTAATGACAGGCAACTGCTGGTGTAGGACTCGTTACGGGGCCAATTAACAGAGGATGTTAAAAGCTAGTACACCAGAAGTAGAACAGCGAACTGTGTGTTCTTCCAGGAGGTTGTACATGTAAGCTAATAAACCTTTTAAAGACAAGCTTGGAGAGCTGTATGATGAGTGATGTTTGAATGGTCCTGTGGAGTAAATCAAAGGGGGGAATTGTAAGGCCCCATCTAAGGCAATGATATTGCCATTGGTGAAGGCAGCATTGGACAGTATAAATCCTACTTCTATCAAGAAATCTTTAAAAAATTGCAGTATTACAAATTCACTAGACAGAAACAAGCATGGCATTTTCCAGCAAGACTCTGATAACAAGGAATTTGAAGACTTTACTGAAAACAACGTCCAGACTGCAAATGATTTTTTTTTGGAAAATTTGATGGGTGTTGCACAGGAGCCTGATCCAATGGAGGTAACAGAGAGTGAAAGTGATAACAGTGAGGACAGCAATTCATACAACAGTCCTGGTGGTTAAGCTTGTCGGTAATTGTGTAGAAATGTAAATAGACATGTGTTTTTCACTTTTGAGATCTAATTGTTTTTTAGATTTTTGAATTTTTCTGTTTCATATTCATATTTATATGCGTGGATATTTGGCACAAGGTAAGTTTTGTGATCTTAGTTGGGAAAATCACTGGAGTTTGGGGGGTATTAGAGACGGGACATTTATGAGAATAAATACGGTATGTTTGAGTTGCACTCGTCTTAAATAAAGATATCTTAATGTTTGACAGAAGCGAGGTAATACTCGCGGTGTGTCTGAAGATATTTTGTGTGAAGAGAATGAATTGCCGTCTTTTTCGCATTAAAATATATCTCCTTTTAATTGATCAAATGTTTCTTTCATCTTAGTCCTGATATATTAATTAATTACCATCAAGGAACATGTACACTAAACAGTCTCCTCAGTATCCAGGTTAATGCTCTTAGTTGCTGAATTGGCTTCCATCTAGGAGATGGAGATTTTGGCTCTAGGATTGGCCTGCTCACTCCTATTGTGATTATTGTCTTGGAGAAGTAACACATTTGTAAATTTCCTTGCAGTTTGTCTGAGCTTGTAAAACATGGGCACAGTGGCCTAATTTTCAGAAACAGTCAGGAACTGTGTAACCAATTGCAGGTAAGATATATTTATATGTTTTACTGTAGAGATATAAGGCGGTGATTTTATGCTTCTTCCACTCCATATAGTGTTATTAATGTCTATCACACACTGAATCAATGTCATCATTTTAATGACTTCATTTTGATGAAGCAAAGGCCATCTATGAAAAAAATTCTAATTATTTCATGTTTGAGGGTCCCAAGGTCAATGTCATTTGCTACTCTTTTGTAGAAAAGCAAACAATTTGTTAATGTGACTTTTGTGACAGACGTTTGTCAGTGGGATTATACAGGAAGAGACGGACCTTAACAGGTCCTGAAGGATCAGATTGGCTTATTTCTCTTTATATAAATGGGTACAAATTTTCAAGACACATAGAGTTGTTGGTAGATATTTGAAGTTTTGATAATAATAAGCAGTTAGCTTGGTCTACAAATTCTTACAAATATAGAACTGGAAATAACAGCAGATCAAGGAATAGATTTTTTATATCATAAATAAATAAATAAATAAATAAATACAGACCGTCTTGCATAAATGTATTGTGGGTGTGTGTTTTGTTGTAGAAGCAAGCACTGAATTCTTTCATTAATATAAACACAAATGAAAAAGTCAGAGCAAAATGGTTTCTTGTTGAGAATGCGATTGAGAGTATTAGAACATGCCAGGTTGCATCATTGATAAAAACAGGCCTTGCAAAAATTCCTGCTTACAAAAAAGTGGCTTGGAAGTGATCTGTCGAACTTCAAAATTTTACAGCATCTTAAGAAATAACGTAACAAAGTGAATGAAGAATAAAATTTACCATACTTGTACCCGAATCCTTATTACTCGGATTATAAATGTTTAATACAGCTCAGGAAAAATGTAGTTTGTTAATTTTTATACTTGTTTATTTATTACAGGAACTACTAGAATCTTTCCCAGATGACCAAAAGATGTTGAAGAAAATGCGATCCAACTTGAAATCCTTTCAAGCAATGAGATGGCATGATAACTGGAAAAGAACTGTTCTTCCCTTGTTAAAACAACACAAAAAAGACAAGAAGAAAAGATAAATACATTATGCAAGAACACGTTGATATGGATCTGTATTTAGAAATAATAAATGGATGCTACACTGTTGATCAGCAGAAAATTGTTGATTTCTTCTTTCATTTGTGTAGAATTTAAAAGGAATTTCATGTTCATTGGATATTTTTTATGAATGATTATTATGTAAACAATCTTGTAAAAAACATATCTTGTATAAAAAGATTTGATTTCCTGGCTCTGTACACTACCATACCCCATTCCTAACTACTATACGGCTTTCCAAACATTCCTTCTCTTGTTATGAGAGCTCTCTTTTACGGGAAGGGTGAAAAGCAGTATAGATTTATGATTGCAAGCTATTCTGGAGCCATATCATACATAATAATGATATAAATTTAAGTAACAAAAATTGGGAAAACGAAAACGGAATTCTGCTTGACAATATTGAGTTTGGTTGTCAGGTTTAAACAGATTTTGACATACTCAGAGAAACAAACGTGTATCAGTTGCAACCTCTCTTGGACAGCTTATTTTTTGTTTTCATATGATGTGGAAAAAAGGTCACAAATACCTTGCCATAACCATCATTTTCGCTTCCAAAACATAGAGTATTTACATATCACAACCAATTTGAATTTAAGGGATGTTTCCATTATTACAATTGTCAACTACTGACAGCCAAATTCACAATAAATGGTTTCAAGAAATACAGGATGATGACGATTATTAGATAGTTTTATGGTCATCATAATGATTCGGAAATATTCAAATTCTATGCAAGTTATTTTTACTACTTTGAATTAAGTCTTACAAAGAATCTGTTTTCCATGATGCAGATGGTAGTTTTGGTGAGGAGTAGGTAACTATAACAAGTGTTACCTATTTTTTGACAGTAAAGGTGGAAATCAGTCCAAGTCGTAAGTTTGAAATTGGTGTTGCATTAGAAAACCATGATTGCACAATAGTTGTTTCAAAATGGCCTCCCTGGCTGCCAAATCAAACTTTTGACAACGTATGAAAAATAACAACACTTTGTTGGCTACCTTTCCTTACCATTCCCACCAATTGCTCATTGGCATCAGTGGAACTGGAGAAGTTTAGAATATGTTTTTCAAGATGGCGGTCATCTTGGATTTCAGACATACCTGAAAAATAATAACACTTGGTCAGGACCATCTCAGGATCATTTTATGCAAGTTTGATCTCAATCCCACTAGTGAAACTTGAGAAGAACAACTGGCTTCCTTTTCTTAACATTCCCACCAATTTTTAGCTCAATGGCACCAGTGGAACTGGAGAATTTTAAAATATGCCATCTTGGATTTCAGACATAGCCGAAAAATAATAACACTCGGTCAGGACCATCTCAGGATCATTTCTTGCAAGTTTCAGTTCAATCCCACTAGTGGAACTTGTGAAGAAGTTTGAAATGACAAAAATTTACGAATTGCGAACAAAGACGGACAAAGCACAATAGCTTTAGGTCATCATTACCCTTTTGGTCAGATGACCTAAACATTAACACTGAGACCCTTGATAAAGTACAAGGCCAATAAGATTAAGAAGTTTAGTGTCATGAAATTGATACTGACCATTTCCTCTTGCCTTGCTTGACAAGTTCTTTATAAACTCTCCGATAATAATGATTACAAGTGTTTGTAATCACTGAGACTCGTTCACATTTGGTCAAACTGGCATATGGTGACAGATTGTATGATAGAGTCTTACATGGCACCAACGTCTTGTGACTCAAGAATACTCGAAACCAATGGATGTTTTAGATCTGTGTCAAACGTTTTGAATTTATAACTGCATATACATTGACAACAAATACAAATAAATGTTATTTTTTTCTTTATTATCAGACTATGAGAAAACATCATTTATTATTAACCTCTAAAGGTCGTAGCTTGGTTGTGATGCAACTTGTCCCAATATGGCCGCCTTTTGATACACGTGAAGACTAATTTCTTTGTATATTTCATTGAAGATAAATGTTTTATTTGATAAGAAAATTATAAAAGAATTCATCATACATTGGATTCATGTTCCAATCTTGTGTTGGTGAGGTTGATGTTCCTGAATGAAATGAAAAAGCTTTCTTAATATTGGTAAATGATCACGAATACACTTACATGATTAGATATTATTTGCCATCAAACTTCAGGTCTATGGTGATAGCGATATATGGATGAATATTTGACAAGTATTTGACACCACTTTCGAATTTCCACACAATTATGAAACTCCGATAAGAAATTCTGTATTGGAAATCACAACAATCCTTACACAAAGTATTTGGGCAAACTAGAACACGATAGTATCTTAACAGCTGATTTCTTTCAATTTTTGCCGAATAACATAATTTTTGAAAAACATTAGAAGACATGTTAGGGTCTTTTCACTGTATATCATCTATCATGTTTACATTTGATTTTTGAAGAAATCAAATTTGTTTGATATAAATTGTACTAGCACAATATCAATCATGGAAATAATCCATACGTACTACAATTGTACTCATCAGAGCCGTCCCAACAGTCGTACTGTCCATCACACACCCAGGTCTGAGATATACATGTGCCTTGAGTTAGACACTTGAATTCCCCTGACTTGCATATTGCAGAACCTGAAATATATCATTTGTGTAAAAATTACCCATTTTACCGTCATTCTATTAAATTTGAGTTAGAACTAGGGCTTGTAAACCTTATGTTATTCTCGGTTATTAAAGGTTTCTATTAAAGGCTTTAATTATGTTTGCAATATGAAACTGAAAAGGCAATATACATGTGTATGTGATCTGCATTTCTCTGCTGATAATCTAAATACTGATTCTACATTGACATCCGAATAAGAATTCTTTAATGATTTAAGGTTTCATGGTCTAAAAGAATGTTCGGCCGGCAAAGGTGACAATTGCATTGAGGCTTGTTTTTGCATCCTCATTTGGTGGAACACTTTTGGATATTCCAGTGGTGTAGTGGATAACGTTCTAAGCATTATGTAAACAGATCAACAAAAAATAAGCGTTTAAACACGATAGGCCATATTTCACCATTTCTAATATTTCCACCTTTTCAAAATATCTATTTTCCATACACAGACTTGTGACAATTAGAACTTACTTTAATCTAAACGTTATCTGTTTAAAGGAACAGCCAGTCTGACTGGAACCATCACCATTTCAACAGTTATGACGATGTAATGGTCACGATCTGGCTGTCATTTATGGTGCCATGAATCGCACTTGTTTTTGGTTAGTTGATATAGTTACATTGCCATGCCAATGAAAATTATTGATTCAGTACAAAAAACAATATGTTATAGTAAAACTTTATCTCGTCTTTTGACCTGGACTTACATTTGTCTTCGTCCGAACCGTTCACACAGTCTATGTCACCATCACAAACCCAGGAATCCGGAATACACCGCTCGTTACCACAGTCGAAATAGTTTGAAGAGCAAGTAGTGGTTGGACCTGTGAATAATATTATAATATTATTTTAAGAAATCCGATTCGATTATTGAACGGATCCTTAGAAAAAAGGTGCGACATGAAATTTGAAATAATAAATTGTCACACTACATGCCAATTTCCTATTTCTATAATGTGTCCTAACATTACAGACTTCAAAAGAAAAGAATACAAAATACGGTTAACCAACAAACAGTTGTTGCTTATGACCAACACCAGTATTTTCGATTATTTCGGAATCTGACTTCAACTTGCACAAAAAGCAAGATAATTAACAATCTCTAACTTCGAAGTGTCATATTCCAGTTCCTGAAACTTTGGACTTAATGTAATGCTACTGGGCTTGTAGTTAAAGAAAGGAAATCTGTTCAATTGTATTGACACATATTTAAATGTTTGTTAGAATAGGAGATGTTTTCAAATACTCTTTGATGCCATATGCCATATGTATACCACTTACAACTGCTTTCGTCTGACCCGTCCGGACAGTTCTGCTGGCCGTCACATCTCCAGGCTAGTGGTATACATGTGGACGACGTGTTGTCGCATGACATCTGGTCAGTTTGGCAGACTGTCAGGATAGCAAAATATGGCTGATATAGTTAGAATGAATACACTTATAACAGAGACTTATGTGTTGACTTTATCTTAAGACTGTAGTGGAAATCTAGTCAGTGATTTCCTTTCATGTATCCTCGATACTCAAGCGGCTACAGTCACTATTGCTCGCGAGCGAAGTAATTTGATTGGTCTAGAGCGGGTTTCAGGAGAAAAAATGACTAATCACAGATTTGATACTATCCTTTCATGATTACAAAGGAACGATACCCAACTTCAAAGTCACTACATCATACCGACCTTGTGATTCGTTTGAAGTACATCGAAGACACAAGGTGTCGCACATGGAACCATTAGTTTGCCATTAAATGTTCAAGGGGTGCAGAGAGCGGTAGTGAACATAATCCCTGGAGTATCGATGACAATCCTACTGTTTACTACTCCGTTTACCAGGTTTCTAAAATACATGTTTTCTTATATACTAGTAATATCTAGTCAGCTGTGACGAATTCAGTCAGCCAGAGAGCCGACCTAAATATCATTGATGTTTCACGGTCTAGAAACTGCTGTATACAGCTACGGTTGGTGTTTTTCGAGGGAGCAATTTTTCCAATGTCAAACCGAAAACTCTTGCCAACAAGAAAATATTTTTCACGGAATTAATAATATGATCGTTTTGTTTTTTGTATCAATTCTGCATTATTATATATTGAGTATATTTTTGTGATTTTATTATTTTTTTTAAATCGCCAAAATAGACCCCCATGAAATTAACCTATGCACTCTGCGTAACACAAAAATAGCATTACATAACGGTTTTATCCTTCTAAGACTCGAGAGATAATGGGAGAAAAGAATATTGAGTGAAGAGTAGTGAAATCCAGAGAGAACGTTATGAAATCTCGACTAAACAAACGTAAAACTGTAGACTTAGATGCTCTAACCACGTAGTTCATACCAGAGACATATATACGTCTCTGTTCATAATATATAATTTTGGATTTTGAATAATTTTCAAGGAATAAAACAGGTTTATATAATAAGAACGTGTACTAATTCCAGAGGAAAGTATGGCACAGACAGACGTCAACGATTAAATATATCAGAGAAACCAAATAACAAAGGATTGGTCCAGACAATTGACTTGTTGTCTACAAAACTACGCATGCAACATGCAGCTTGACTCCGACGTACACCACACTGATAAATAACATCTAAGTTGTTAATAATCATATAACGATAATTAATTACATACTTTTCTAATGTCATCTCAATGATTATTTCCACCACCATGTTAAATTCCCTGAAAATAAACAAAACATACAAACCTAACCAACTACAAGCAGACATACTGTAGATATGAAACGAGCAGAATGTATGACGTGGATATATTGAAACATAATGTTATTTCATTTTTAATCTTATAACATTTTAGAAGCAATGTTTATCGGACCGTAAAACATGACTGATTAAAGATGATAATTATAATGATTTAGAATATTTATTGAAGTTTCTACCTCTGTTCTGTTGTGATTTTGATTTTATTATTAAAATTCTTTGGATGGTTCTGAATACAAACAAATAGGGCTACTCTTCACCATGCAAAAGTCCTAAAGTATCTATTTTTCAAGCATTTTTGGTTAATGGAAAACTTTGAAATGTGTTCAATTCCCGATACTTCAACCTCTCTCGATATCACCATCTTTAAGGACTTATATAATTCGGAAACTTCATTTTTGTTCTCAATGGTTTGATAATCAACCAAATTCAGTGATACTCTAACAGTACTGTTAAAAGTTAATTTCTGACGTAATTTTCAATTCGTAAATATGACTCGTAAAAAAAATAGCTAAAGGATATTTTTCACTTAAAATATGAAAGCAAAAGTACAAATTTAAGAACTTACCTGTGTAGGTCATTTACAAAAATCCGCGAAAAACGAAAATATGTCCATTTTTTCGACTTATGATTTAAAAACATTCGGGATGAATACATTAGTATCAGCTCGGAGTGGGATAGTTTTGTACAGGTTTTATAATTCTCTGCTACTTCAACGGTGAATTCGCAGTTTTCATAGGCAAGGATAAATCTGGTCCTCTCATGGAAAAAAGGTTAGCTTTCTCTCTAAAACTTCACAACTCTCTGTAGGGTTACTTCATTCGGTGATGTAGCAACCAAATGTCAAAAGTGGATAATGTCGTAAAATTTGACACATATTTCGTTGGTTACTTAATTTGGCGTGATAAATGCGTGCATTCCGCCAAAACTACTTCCAAAATTTAACGGAAAGTGTGGTTGAAAAAATTATCAATGTTCTCTATGTTATGTAGACGGAGATATTTACACCTTCGGAACGGTTAATTTAAAAACATCTCTCTAAGCCGTCGAGCTATTAGGTTGAGATCATGAGACATCACCGTCTTAATCTAACGAAGACAAATACTGTTAGGCTTAATCAAAGCATGTTAATCTCCAATATGTACATGCACATACCTGTAACATTGCATTTACGAATAAATTGCATATTTATCTATTTTATTGCAAATAAGACAAAAGAGCATTTGCTACGTTACTCTGCATTTTGAAAAATATCTATTTATGTTCTATGTACTCATTTAGATACTTTGTTAGTTATTTCAAGTTTCCTCATTCTGAAAACTACTATTTCACATACAATAACATGTCAACAGTTCACATGAATGTTTTTTTCACAAATTTCCAAATGTCAAAAACATATTCTGAAAACTCCTATTTTACATCCAGTAATATATCAATAACATTTCAAATGAATGTTTTTACAAATCTCTAAATGTAAAAAATGTACAGGTTTCTACAAGAGAGAGCAGTTTTTAAAGTAAAGTAAAAAAAAAAGTCAAATAACAAAATATTGATTATCTATACATATTACTATATAAACAATGAATATCTTGAATACAATATTTAAATCATTCTTTCCTAAGCAAGGTACTTTGTTTATTGGTAAAAGTTTTAAAGAAATATTTACCTGGCGTAGGAGCAGTGGAAGCGTTCGACACGGTTGTTGACGTCCCTGGATTTTGTGTAGTAGTGAAACCGGAAGTGGAATTTTTTGTTCGGATGATATCAGTTGTCTTTGGGCTAGTTGTTGTTGGCGTAACTAGAATTACATAATATACTGAATCAATTAAAACGATTACTAATATTATCAAAGCCATTCTTTGTTTACTTTCATCACACAGACATTACACAATATACAAATATATTAATCTTAATAAAGCCAAAATACTTTATAGATACAAGGGGAACGGGAAAGTAAAGACTTGAAATAACGGCCGGCTGGAACTCGGGATAAAACAAACTAACGACTATTTAATACACATATATGTAGACAGACACTGAACCACTTATGCATTTGGCCAAAACGGACCTATAAGCCATTTTCGACGTATAGAGAGCATGTATGTATGTATGTATGTATGTATGTATGTATGTATGTATGTATGTATGTATGTATGTATGTAATAGTTGAAAAATAAAGAAAATAAGGCATGTTTATGATACACTATGCCCCCAGTTGCAACAAAATTCCAATGTAGGATATCAAAACTTGACTGTGTAATCATGTACACTCTGTGAAACACTTGTGTCTTCATTGTGGTCATGATTCTTTTTTTACTTTCAAATGTAGGTCAAAGGTAACAGTCAAAGTCACATGGTCAAAACTTAAGGTACCACCGGAAAGTCTTGTCACATGTCAAATACGAAAGCCCTGCCTCTTACGGTGTAATAGCTATGGGCAAGGTTAAAGTTGACAATAGACAAATAGACAGCACAAAAACAATATGCCCCGATCTTTCGACCCGGGTCAGCATCATAACTCTTGTATATAACGTACACATACGCATTTTTCTTTTTGCGGCTGGAACATGTAAATAATGTTTGTTGTAAATGTTATGTGGATTCATGCGTTCTTTACAATAAATTGATTTTATTTAAGGTTTGAGCCTTAAGTAGACTTATCCTCGATACTCCTGGGGTAACGATCACTTCCACTCTCTACACCCCTGGAACATGTCATGGCAAAACTAAAGGAACAAAAGTAATTTGATTGGTTCCAAGAGAAAAAAATAACTGACCATTCCAATCACAGGCAGACATTCACCTTTTGAAGAGTACAAAGGAGCGGCACCCATCTTCAAAGCCATACCGTTATGCGATCTGGAGATGCGTTTGATGAACATGAAAGGATCAAACTAGTCTTTTTTACAAGGTGTCGCACACGGGCCCTCAATTTTACCATGACATGTTCCATCGGTGCAGAAAGCGAAAGTGATTGTAACCAATGGAATATCGAGCATAAAGCAGAAAATGAAAATCAACTCAGACTATATTTTATGTTCGTGCATGCCTATATTCTTTTTTAACCAATGTTCTTTCTCAGCAAATGATACAATACAATGCCTGTAATCGACTTTAGATCACTCTATTTTGAAATTAGTGTTGTGTAACCTATGAAGCTTACCTGTGGTGGGTGTTACTGTTGGGGTTTCTATTTCAGATTCAATTGTAGTCAAGTTTTGTCTGGTAGTGGCCAAGCTTGTCTCGACTGTGGTCGAGGTCGGTATCAATGTAGTCGATGACAAGTTGGAGGAGATTCCACATGTAATTCCGTCTGGACATGCACAGGTGTATTGGACTTCAGTCGATGGTGGCTGGGCAGGTCTCGGTAGACAAAGATACCCGCATTCAAATTCGTTTGTGTAACATATACTTGTCTCTTTGAGTGGAAAATAATAGTTTTTATGTTTCAATAAAAATAATATTTTGGCGATAATTTACAGTCATTTATTAATTCATTTCTAATTTATCTTTAAAAATTATTCTTTTACAGATAAAATATGGTATCTGGAATGAAGACATAGACGTTAGATAAGATAGGGAGATAATTAATCTCATGCAGGGAAAAGTACTTTTTGCGATTAAAAGAGGAAAACGTTAGCATTAAAAAACAAATATTTGCTTTCATTCAAAACTCTGCATTATTTTGCAGTACTCGATGGAAACACTTACTTCGTTTTTGCATTGTGTTGCTATATACTTTCATTCCCATTGGCCGAGAGATAGAATCGGTCCTTTCGTTTGTGAATTTTGTAATTTCTCCATTTGATTTTGACAATCCTGTGATACCAATGTCTGCCCAGGATGTGATAAAGATATCAAACTACAAGTAAAACGGGACACGTGATTTTTGTATTTGTGTGCATTGCCCCATAAACAAACTCGGATTGTCCTTTTAGAAGCTAAGGGGTACCTCATTGAGGTTATAAAAACAAGAATAAACGTATGCTCTGTATTTTTAAACAGATCCAATATTACTTGATTTGCTATTTATTGATACAAAACCAGTTACGTGACATTGACCTTGTATCATGTATATACAAAAAAAAATATATGTGACCTTGACTTACCATCACATAAATATTCATGGGGTAAAAAAAGCAAAAGTATACATTTGGTGTCATTACATTCGATCTCTGTTCGAGGAACACTTCACACACATACTATGTCGCTATCAAATCTTACTTTAGATGTGGAGATGGCAAAGTCATGGCTTATTTTCCCAGAGCTGATAACTCTTCTGTCACTGCCATCAACTTGAGATGATTCCACCTTTCTTAATTTGGAGTCAACCCAATATAACCGTCCATCGTCATAATCTGTAAAGTGAAACAAACTAATGTTCACCTTGACCGAAAATTTCTGCCTCTAAAATGATAAAACGATGCTAATATTGATATCAAATTATCATTTAAAAGACTGAAATTTTCGATCTACTGTTCATGAAACCTGGATATCGCTGTGGTTTTTAAAGCATAATTATTATCTTATAAAAAATGTTTCACGTTACGATAACAGACCATATGGTAAGAAATGAGAACGATTCGCTCTTATCTCAACAGTAAATTGCAAGCACCATTAAAGCTACCGCCGTTATTACAGTATGGTTATCTCAAAACTGGGCTGACCTGTCATATGATATATATTTTACATTTTATCTATTGTTATACCATCACTAATAAGATATACTTAGCTATTACCTAAAGTGATACCATTTGGCCAAGTCAAATCGCTTGCTACAATAGTCTCTCTTTGTTGTCCATTCATGCCGGATCTTTCTATTTTGGCAGGGTTACCCCAATCTGTCCAATACATCCATCTAAATAAAGACGAATATTTCTCAATAAGAAAATAACAAAGGTAGCTGTGTCCAAAAATAAGATAGAATCATCTCTTCATACGTTCATGCATTTGTGTATCAAAATGGAATACATTTTCTGGTATCTTCAGATGACATTTGATACATTCAACTTCAACAAAGTTTAAGCTTAAAAAATAGGAAATTCGGTACGGATTTCCACATTTGTCATCAAAATATATTGTGATAATACATATACCCAAGAGGAATGGGGATTGGTGTAGTGATATCACAAGCAGGCAATAATCTGACAAATTATTAATCGTGTCAGCAATGTGTCTTGTATTATATTATCCGCGCAATTATAGTATCATAATCTTACCCTGTCAATGGATCCACTATTATGCCTCTAGGCTCATCTAGGTTATCGCGAAACAGGACTTTTTTCATTGTTCCGTTGTAATTTGTGACGGATATCTCATCCCGGCCAGTATCTGTCCAATAGATTAGATTATTGACCCAATCTACTGCCATGCCGTCTGCTGTGATTATCCCGTCACTCAAGACGGCTCGCTCGTCCGTAATGGATCCCGAAGTATTCTGAAAACTGGCACTATAAAAAACGTGTTTAAAATATATCTAAAAATTCAGATATAATTTGTCAGGACAGCATTTTTGAAGAAATTTGATTTTTTTTATAACTACGGATTTGATTAAAACACACCACTGACGTAAATGATGTAAATTTTAACAGCTAATTCCCAGACACACGTATTCGTAAATTAATAGAATAAAGATCAATGAATACCCAAACGAAAATGATTTTTGTAGCAAACTTTGTGAATCATTTTTGAAAAAATTTTTAAAGTAACATCATACCCAAGGCGGGCATACTTGTTGTCAAAGAGTTTTGACTTTTAAATAAAATGGAAAGTAAGGTAATTCATATGATGTTATATAAATATTGACCAATAAATAGCATATCATCGGTTTTTTCATTCACAACATAAATTCATTACAACACTAGTTGTACAGTTTTGTTCTTTCAAACAGTTACCAGGTTATTATCGGAGAAGAAAGCCGACAGTAAACATTTCCGTAAATGAGAATATACAAAACAAAATTTACATTTTACACTTCTGTTAAAAATATACCGTCAGTGAAAATGGCGAACTCTTGTTGAATCATTTATCATCATTAAAATTGCATTTAAATTAAAAACAAAATGTTTCCACTCAAAACACAATAGTTAAATAGAAATATTACACAAAGATTCCAGATCTCTTATTATCTGTCCAAAACACATAGTTCTCCTCGTAGTCGAAGTCCACTCCTATTATGGTTTGTCCGGTTCGTGAGGGCGATATCCGACGTGACAATGCCTTTTTGGGCCCACTTAAAAGTGTAACCAACTTAAGGCTGTGCGTGTCTGCCAGGATAACTTTTGTATCTGAAAAATGAATCCCAAAATGATACAGACGTAGACTGAAATTATTTCTCAACAAGTAAAAATGTACAATAATATTTTGATGTGGTCGATCCATCGTTTTATCAACATAAGAATAGATATCATCCACGAAGGACGTCTTGAATTAATCGCATTGTTGACTGGGATGAAATCTTATGAACGAGAAAACGAGATAACATTGGGAAAATCTACATGATCTGAAAGTTAACAACATAACTCTGAAGCTGTTATCCACTGCGCCACACGACCACCCAAAATAATCACACCGCATACCGTTCGTTAAGTAACTAAATCTTTAATATCTAACAAAATAGAAATTTACTTATTTTCGTCTGTATCACTTTATACTACAACGTATAACAACCTAGACTTCACAGAAAAAAATATTTTGTTTAGCTTTGGCACATCACATCCAACATTATATTACGTTATATGATGACACACTCCATCGTCTTTTTTCTCTCTTTTTTTTTAAATCTCAAGTCTTCAGTAGCTGTCAAGCATACTGATTTTGGTTTTCAGCATACTTCAGAAAAGTGAAATGTGTGAAGATTTTTCTTAAAAACACATTTTTGGTTCAAGTTAAATGTTTCAATTGACAAATGACTATTGACTTTATATGGGAAAAACTAGTGTGTGCTACCCTTGGTTTCACAATTTGCCTCATCCCTTCCGTTGTAACAGTCCGTGAATCCGTCACATTTCTTGGCTTCCTCAATGCACGTTTTCTTGTCACATGGGAACTGACTTGAAGTACACTTGATCTCCTTAGTACCTGCAAATTAAAAATGTCATGTATCATTTCTGATTCAATCATCAATTTTTTATCGAAACAAAAATACTTTGAAGTTGTTTAAAAACGCGGGGCTAATTTTCCCCAGCTTAGACTAGTTCATGGGCATTGGATTTCGTGCCTATCTATAGACTGTTCCCAATGTCTACGTGCATAATAGAATATTAGAGGATGATATTTTGATAGTTATTGATTCCGCAATTTTACCAACTATGACGTAGTTTTTCCATGTTGTCTTGTAATTTCATTGTGAATTTGCAAATAAAATCGGTCTAGTTCATTTTTGCAGATGTTGTTGGGTTACATCTAAGAAATTGCCCAAGAAAATACTAGCCCTTTTGGTTATTGAGAGGAAGTCGTTTGAACGGAAAAGTTGACGACGAACGACGACAGACGCCGTGTGATGAAAAATGAACAGGTACAGAAAATAAGTAAATAGATAAATAAACAAGTAATTATACGTATTGGGTTAACTTACAATTCCGCTCATCAGAGCCATCGACGCAGTCATTCGCTCCATCGCAGACCCATGACTCGTGGATACATTCATTAGAGTTGCACGTGAATTCCACGTCTTTACAGGTATTACGCGTCATATTACCTATAGAACAAATATCGGCGTTAAAGAAAATTCTTTATAGTCCGAATTGTATGATAAGAAAACATTGCGACAATAAATACGTACATTTTTCAAAAATAAAATAAACTCACAGTTATTTTCGTCTGAATTATCGGTGCAGTCACCGTCACCGTCGCACCGCCATTCTTGAGGAACACAAATCCGATCTGTTTTACACATAAACTGATCGTCCCTACACGTCTTATTTTTACCTACAATGAGTATCAAGCACATGAAAATCGTAGTAAAAAGCGATTTCTTTGAACTTAATACAATGAAATCATAAAAGACTTACAATTGACTTCGTCCGACTTGTCGACGCAGTCGTTTGTCCCGTCACATCGCCATTCTTTAGAAATACACTTCTTACTTGTTTGGCACATAAACATATTTTCGCGACAGGCTGTGCCTGCAACAAGTATTATCATAAATCAACAATGGCTTTGAACTAAATATAATAAAACTTGTTGTTTCCTGCAATGAGTATTCCAGTTCTTGAAAATTGTGTTATAAAACAACAAATAACATGGAAAATAACAGCGTGTTGACATTTTTTGTGTAAATATCCATATTGCGCTATGAAGATGGACGTATTTGGCGCCCATTAGTTAACGTGTTCGCTCTGTTGTTGTATTCCTAATTCTCTTTTGAGAACGTGACATTACTCGGATTGACAAAGATTTTCATGGCGGCGTCGTGGACCAGAAGATGCTTACTCTTCTGCAACACCTGGTCTCATTCTCTTAGTACTTCCCTTAGTCTCCGTCAGAATCTTTCAATTGTTCATATTTTGCTCTAGTTTTATTGAATTTGAGTTTGTATTATAATTATGTTGACATGTTGGTATTTTCTTCTACTTTCTTTTAACGTTTATTTGCATTTGATATTTCCATTTTTTATTCCATCTCGCAATGAAGACTGATTAATTAAAGTTACCTCATGAAATCATTGACCAGTTATACGATATATATATAGACGCAGTGTGATCTAAAAATGAACAGGTACAGAAAATAAGTAAATAGATATATAAACAAGTAATTATACGTATTGGGTTAACTTACAATTCCGCTCATCAGAGCCATCGACGCAGTCATTCGCTCCATCGCAGACCCATGACTCGTGGATACATTCATTAGAGTTGCACGTGAATTCCCCGTCTTTACAGGTATTACGCGTCATATTACCTATAGAACAAATATCGGCGTTAAAGAAAATTCTTTATAGTCCGAATTGCATGATAAGAAAACATTGCGACAATAAATATGTTTTATAGAAATCATGAGATGTTTTTAATGATTTGTTTGACACGGGCTACGTCAGAGAATTATTGGAGCTTGTCAAACTCGTTATATATATATATATATAATTAAGATGTACTGAGGTGTAAAACTGTCTACACTGATCTTCAAACGGCTGATGGGTTAATTTTTTAAAATTCTATTCCATATTACTGATTGACAGAATTCCTCTGATACCGACTGTAGTACGTACAGTTAAGCTCGTCAGAATTATCGATGCAGTCTTTGTCCCCATCACATCGCCATTGCCGACTGATACACTTTTGACTTGTTTTGCACATAAATTCATTGTCTAGACAAGTTTTATTTGTACCTAAAAAGATACACGATACAAGTTTTATAAAGTTGCATAATTCATAAATAAATTGTATTAAAGACACAAAATAATAGTACATTTCTATACAAAGTAAGATAGAGCCAACCTAATCAATTAAACTGCATCATAAAACTTTTTCGTCCTACTAGGACTTGTGATGCTGAAAATGTTGGAACTGCCAGGTGATGTTATGTTCATAGAACGAGAATAGAGGTGACACCAAAGAACTCAATAATAGATTTTATTAGTCTGTTGCTCTGGTCGGATATTTCTTATATTTCATTGTATGAAGCAAATGAATAAATACAAATTTGATTCATAAATGACACCTGCTATATGATGATACGTTCTTGTAGAAAGAATCGAGGTAATATCAAAAACATAAACAATTTGTTTTAAAAGCAGTCCACTGCTCCACTAAGTTATCTTAATAGTACAATATCAAAGCAAACATACAGCTTTTCTCGTCAGAGTGATCACCACAGTCGTCGTCTCCGTCACATTTCCAACTCGCTGGAATACACTTTCCAGATTTACACATGAATTCTTGAAGTGAGCATGTTTCATTTCCACCTAGAAAAATGTTTTAAAATCAGAGTTGTCATTACTCATAAACTCATATATGATAAAAAGAACAGATTGTCTACAGATTATATCATGTCCCTCTGTGTTTATTTTTTTCTGTGCCACACCCTGTTGTGCATGAGCAAACAAAAAAGTCTTAAATATAAAAGATATAAAACGATTTATTGAAGAACGTGAACGACGATATCAATATATAATAATAAATATTAATTAAGAACACTTTCTTTACCCAGTTGTCGATCATTACAAAAACTGAAACATCTTTCTTTGTAGATTGTACTTAAGACACACAAGTGAATGGCAAATTTTAAAACAGATTAAGAGATACAGCAGAGTTAAACTGCTCCATACAGCTGTTTTGTCCTAAGGCTCCTCAGTGACGCTATGGACATAAAGTTTGAAGCCTTGGAGGCAACTGAGAAGAATCCAAAGTGGTTGAAAGAAAAGCCAAGCTCTAGATAAGGCAATGCCAATGTAGTCATGCAAAAGTTACACATGTATTTGGTTATAATTAGATAATTAACTTTTATTCTGTATATACTAACATTAATAAAATGTTTCCCGTTATTTTCATACATTGATTTTACAAGGCAACTAATAAAATTAAGTAAAACATTTAATTACATGTTGCTGCTTGACCTGCTCATGACCGGAAACAGAAAACAAAAATTAATTTAATTTTCGTCTCCTATTTGGCTTTAAAATATTACTTAGTAGAGAATCAGGTCTCAAACCACAATTTAATTTCTGATTTTTTATTCATGAATGTTGGTCAGGACCTTAACTAAGAATAGTTAGTAATTATCCTTAATCACCCATGCCTAAAATGTTTACATTATTTAAATAGCGTAATGATATTGTTTTGATATATTGTTTTCCAGCATGTTCAACAAAACATACTGTATGATGCTTAATTGTTAAAATTATATAAATGCCTTTATTAACCTTTGAACCTTGAAGTTTAGTGAGGTAGCAGTATCATTTTTAAACGAAGGTCATAAAGTTATTTTCAAGCCCGCTTTAGATACAGTTTGAACATGAATTAAAATTGGATTCTTTGTAATATTTCAGTTCCATTTTGGCAGGACAAAGAGGGAACTTAACTTTGGGCTGAGGTGAGATGAGATAATAGAGTGCAAGGGGAATTCTGTCATTTTACAAAATTATGTATAATTAACAAAAGTTTCCCAAAAGCATCTTCGGCAATTGCGATTGGCGCTACATGTTTGTTTGTTTGATTACATTTCATATTTTACTTGTTCACTTATTCATCTATTTTCGAATCATGATTTTTTTTATACATTTCTATACCAGCATTTTGTAATCGTTCAAATAATGCCGATAGAATTATTCATAGCAAAATCACCCAATCCGCTCTCTATAATTCAATGCAATTGATCACTAATGCTCACTGTGTTACTTCCATAGATAATTATTACATATATATGTACATATAATTATAAGAGCATTGATTGTTAGAGTTGTTTTTGAGAAGATAATAATATGCTTGATCAGACTAATGCGAAGGTGCTCTTTTCTCTAGTTTACTGATGTATGAAGCAAATGTTTAACGAGAATATTATTAGCCATGCAGTATTCTTCTCGTGTTAGTATACGACGAGTCATCTGCTGACGCACGTGACCTACATACGGGTGACCTTATGACAGTTACTCGTGATTTACCTACCGATGACATATTGAAAGAAGCCACAAGTTACCGACACATGGAAACATTTTCTCTTCAAGAATGTCTAAAATACAACAAATTTGCCTGCACAAGAACTAAGTAGGAGACATTACCGTTGATATCTCTCACAAAAGATTCATGTGCAGACGACGCCTTCAGCAGATCGTGACTACTAGAGATATGACCAATGAGATTTAGAGCATGTGCTGACCAGAGGCCAACGGATAGTATACTTTCATGTTGATTTTTGCACTACTTGAGAGAACATTTGACAGGTTATGTTTAAAAAATGTCAGGACCTTTAGAAATCAGTATAACATTCACTACGAAATCACCCACTTCGAAAAGAACTCCCGCAACAGAAAAACAAAGTTTTTGCATATACTGTAACCAAAAGTAGGTTACTGATAACATACATTGTAACTAATAACTAGATGAACTGATAAAATACACCGTAACCAATAACTAGGTTAATCGATAAAATACACCGTAACCAGTAACTAGGTTAATCATAAAATACACCGTAACCAATAACTAGGTTAATCATAAAATACACCGTAACCAATAACTAGGTTAATCATAAAATACACCGTAACCAATAACTAGGTTAATCGATAAAATACACCGTAACCAGTAACTAGGTTAATCATAAAATACACCGTAACCAATAACTAGGTTAATCGATAAAATACACCGTAACCAATAACTAGGTTAATCGATGAAATACACCGTAACCGATAACTAGGTTAATCGATGAAATACACCGTAACCGATAACTAGGTTAATCGATGAAATACACCGTAACCGATAACTAGGTTAATCGATGAAATACACCGTAACCGATAACTAGGTTAATCGATGAAATACACCGTAACCGATAACTAGGTTAATCGATGAAATACACCGTAACCGATAACTAGGTTAATCGATGAAATACACCGTAACCGATAACTAGGTTAATCAATGAAATACACCGTAACCGATAACTAGGTTAATCGATAAAATACACCGTAACCAATAACTAGGTTAATCGATAAAATACACCGTAACCAATAACTAGGTTAATTGATAAAATACACCGTTACCAATAACTTGGTTAATTGATAAAATACACCGGAACCGATAACTAGGTTAATTGATAAAATACACCGTAACCGATAACTAGGTTAATTGATAAAATACACCGTTACCAATAACTAGGTTAATTGATGATATACATTGTTACCAAAAGTTAGGTTTACTTTTTTCCTACACACGTGCACATGCTATAGTTAAACGTTTGAGGCGCGTGGTTCATCTTTTTCAAACTTTTCTCCAAAATATTTTTATTTTCACATTGTGTTGTTATTACGAATAAGCGTTTGTGTTAGTTCAAGAAAAGCAGCGCAAGTTCAGAACCATCCCTTATCATTTCTTCAACTGTTTGCGATATGAATTAAGTCAAACAAAATTTTGTAAGCTTTATCAAAATACTAATCCATTGTTTTCTTTTCGCCGGTGTCAATTTTCAAATTCTTTTTGGATGGTGCCAATGATGCATTTATACAATTTTTACTAGGTTTACTGAAAAAAAAAATGCATTCAGGCATAATGTAACCCTTTACAACATAGTCGATGGTTCTTAACACTAAAGCCGTTGATTTCTAATGCCAAATATAAGTTTCTGAATACAGAGCCTACATTTGAGTTCATCAGTCTTGTTGGGACAATCAGCATCTCCGTCACACATCCACTTCCGGGGAATACACCTGCTGGTATTTGCGCAACGCACTTCTCCTGGATTACACTTCCGGTTTGAATCTATGCGGTAAATAGTATCATTTTGTTTTATGCCTTCGCTAATTGAAATTATCACTCTCCCTCTTTTTACCGTGTACTCATTGTCATCAATTATTTACATATTTGCTAAATTAATTTCCTGTTTTATCAATAAAATGATAACAACAATATAAAAAATAAATAAATGAAAAAGTAACACAACATATATATAAGTACGTGTGTTAAATGGGTCTGAGCCTACATTTTCATGGTAACGTGCCTCTACGCAAAAAGTAATGAATGGGTGTTTTTTTTATATCTGATTATTAATTCTGGAAATCTTTCTTAATTAATCCTCATTATGATGAATGATTATCGTTTTGCTCTGTGTGTGTGTGGGGGTGGGGGTGGGGGGGGGGGGGGGGGGGGTTGCGTGTGTATGTGTGTGTGTGTGTGTGGGGGGGGGGGGGGGTTAACGTTTCATATTTGTACAACGGGTACACATGAATGTGTATACATGCATCGGAGCCGTCTGTCATAAATTTTGAGCCTCATAATTGCGGAAGTATTCCTTGAACCGGATACACCTAACCAAAGATTGTGAAAGTCATCAAAGTGTTTGAAACCGTAAGTTTCCGTCACCAAGGATCAATGTCCTCGGGGTTAAGTTTTGTTTTAATGCTTAAAAATATCTTAAGTATATTTAAACTCAACAGTCTGTCTACATCTGTTTAGAATATTACCAAGAAGGGTTTGAAGCCCGGCGCCCTACAATTTCCAGTTAAATCTATATCTATGATTTAACAATTGTTAAGTGCCCGATAAATTACAACAACTAAAAAGCACACTATCATATGTTTTATTTTTTTTTCGAATTTATCAGCTACATTTCTAGCCTTTACAAGTGTTATTAACTGCATACTGCCTCTGTGTTTTTGCGACCTTTCATTTAAATGTTTTTTCCTCATTTCTTATCGGTATATGACAAATGAAATATACCACAGTTAGATGGAAATCTTCACTAATTGATGGAAATATTACTAATCGATGGAAATCTTTACTAATTGATGGAAATATTACTAATTGATTTGAAACATTTTTTTTTTGTACAAGGAGGAGATAAGATATAAGTATTCATTTAAAGTTATAATTCGTGAAATATAATTACATACATACATGCATGCATGCATACATACATACATACATACATACATACATACATACATACATACATACATACATTACATTACATTACATTACATTACATACATACATACATACATACATACATACATACATACATACATACATACATACATTACATTACATTACATTACACACACACACACACACACACACACACACACACACACACACACACACACATACATACATTACATACATTACATTACACACACACACACACACACACACACACACACACACACACACACACACACACATACATACATACATACATACATACATACATACATACATACATACATACATACATCACCCCGCAGTAAAACCATATTAAAAAGGCTGGGCCTCCTCTTCCCCCTTCTCTCTCTCGTGTCGCCACGTAGTCATGTTATTCTCAAGAAGGTCAAGAGACAGACTCCAAGACCACCCATGTAAACCATGACTAAGAAGTGATGAATAATATGTGCCGTTGATTGCTTGTCCTATTTGCAGATAATCTACCATCAAAATAGCATCAGCATCTCAGAAAAACAAGGCCTTAACCTTTCCAGCTAATGGAACAGTATACCAGCTGATGGAACAGTTTATGCCTTCTTTGCCGGAGGTGAAACAGGGTGCTTCCATTGTATACACTGGTATGAAATAATGGACCCATGTTTCATCCATAGTCACAAACCTCTACTGGAAGTTAGCAGGATCTGCCTCTAAAAAGTTCAGACTAGCACGAGACAAAATCCGCCTGGAAAACTTTTGCTCAACTGTCAGAAGTCTTGGTACCAAACGTACTGACTGCTTTCTCTTTGTAAGATCTGAATGGAATGCATGCTTTCCTGTGAACTGGCTATATATCTCTATATAACTCGCCTGTCACCTATAATAATTTTCATGAGCTTTATTTCCATTTCTAGTGATGCGATAGTGACAAGCCTTCCAGGAAGGGCATCACACCCAAGGCTCTGCCTGCCAAGCTTAAATTCCGCTACCCACATTTTCACTGTAGCAAATGACATCATTCTATGGTGTTGCTACCAAATCACCATGGATATCCTTAGGTGCTACACCTTTCTTAAGCAAATATTGAATCACTGCTTATTCAGCGATTTGTGAAGTTGTTTCACAACTTTTCAATTTGTTACAATTTCCTTATTGTATATATATTTAATACATATTTGTGTAACACTTAACTTCAATTACTTCAGAGTAACAAAGATCGTGATCTGGGTTTGACCTTTGCCCCAAGACTTTTTTTTTTGGGGGGGGGGGGGGGGGGGGAAGTTGTTTCTTTTGTTACATTTTGTGAATTTAATAAATATGTTTAAATGTGAGAAACATAATTCGTCGTGTGTTTTGTTCAGTGTAGATCCATCAAGGAAAATCCTAAAGTAATGTTAATTTTTAAATGAAAAAAAGATGAGTTAAAAAGCAAAATAACCGATGAAACATCTTATTGATACATAAAATATTATCGAAGACAAAGAAATACTAAGTGCGACAGTTTTTTTCCTAGCATTACTATAAAGAATTTTTCAATTTTTATTACATTACAAGAGAGTGTTAACCACAAATCAACATTTAAGTATTGGGCGTTTTCACAACAACGTAATCAGTTGTGGGAATTATACATATTGTGTCCTATGGTGTACGACTACTGATTTTAATGCCACGAAAGTTTATGCATTACACAAATCTTAAAACATTTTTATAAAGAGCTATCTCTTATGTATATGCCGTGGATTGAAATAAAACAAGTACATGTATATATTCTACATTTCAAAAACGAGAGTTCGTCCTGAGGTTCAGTCGTGGAGCCGAGTTTGTACATATGGGTTCCCATGTCAGGTAAATTAAATTAAACATATATATATATAGGATTTACAAAATGTAAAATACATTTTTAAAAATCCCAGCACATTCGAAAGCCGCAATATCTTATTTCACAAAATTTCGCTCTGATGCGGGTTTCAGGTTAATCCGAGCCAGGATATCAACAGTTAATTAATATTTGGAGATTACTTCAAAAGTTTGCTTTTAAAAATGGTTTCGCGAGAAATATACTTTGCGGAATGAAAAACAAAACCATTATTTCGGTAAACTGGGCGGTTAAATGTCAGTAGCTTGTTGGCGCGAACAATGTCTAGAGACACCGGGCCATGGGTGACAAATTGTGCATTGTCAAGAATTTACATGTGAACCTCGTTAACCCAAATTAACTTATGTTTTATGAACTAACAGCAGGTTTTTTAAGTTCTAAACAAAATGGGTTATAAACAAAGCCTTCTGTTAATCCGGTTTATTTTGCTAAGAACAAATATATCTATCGTAGCTAAATAGTTGTAACTACGTTGCATGAGTAAGCGTGTGATGAAAGATGTGTTTTCACACTGTACTGTTTCACACACATACGTATGATTGTCACACAATGTTAGTGAAAGTATAAGTAGTGTCACGTAGTAAACACAAATACTTAAAGGGGCATTCAGATACCGGCGAGACAATGTACGTAAAGTTGAATGTTTTTTTTCCTTACAATATCTGAATTCTGAAATGATACTCCAATGCACAAATAAATTATCCAAAAAATAGAAAAATGATAATTCGCTCTTGTTAGGAAAACTTTACACCAAAGAATTAATCACTAATTGACTAAGGTGTTTAATTTTTTGTGTCTTTTTAACAAGCAGAGTCATATGAAGATGGTGTCTACGTGTGATTGGGGCTACTGACGGATGATTTTATAGTGTCATCGCACTGAAATGTCATAGCTTGGACACGACAGTTTGATATCCGGACCGGATGTTCTATTGAAAACCTATCACAATGCAGTTCATATTGCTAAGTTTTCACTCGCAGATATTTAGTTTACGACAGAAAATGACCAAAAAGAAAATACAGAAATAACTGTTAAAACATATATACTAATAATTGTTATGAAAAGAAGTATACATGAGGTTTAAACATTTGTGTAAACGTTTCAACTCGTGCCCTACCTGGCTGTGTGCGGCAGATGGCAATCAAATAGAAGAGAAATACAGTCGTGAGTATGTACGTCCCGACAGCCATCTTGTCTGGCTAACGCTGTATTTGAGGTAAGCAGGTTCGGAGGTTTATATAAGTGTGAGAGTATCCGGTTCGGAATGACATATTCCTCTCATAGTCAGCGTATTACCGTGAAATGGGAGTGTAGTTAATGCTGCATTAAAATGTCATCAGGGCTTAAAATAACAAGATCACATAGAGAGTATAACAAGCAAGTTTAAATCTTTTTGGGGCAATATGTCGAAAATTATATACCTCACAAAGAATTATTATAAATCTTGTACGTTTTATGAGATATACATTTGTAGATATAAGATATCTACTTCACTTTATATCTTAAAATTGAATAAGAATCTATTTTTAACAGCATGAAATTGCATACCATTCAACACAATTATAATTCCTTGTAAAACAGAAATCGCCTACTCTTTCTGCACACCTGGTCCTATTCTCCTTGAAATTAAGTCAGGGATCTCTGTGTAAATCTCTCTTGTTTGATTTGCCCTTGCTTCATCGAATTTGAGTTTGAATCAAGAATGTGTCCGTACTAAAAAATATCAGATTAATTAATGCGAAATATGATCAAATGAGAGATTTACACGGTGACCAATGTAAAAGTACAAAAATAGTGTTTCGGAAGAGTAAGGGTATTCTGCTCCAGGTAAATCCAAGTAATGCCACATTTCCAAATGATAACACATGTTATCGGGTATCACAAAAATGGATATTTCCCAATATTATCATAACGTTGAATAAAATACTTACCCAAAGTCGTCATCAACCTGCATCTCTCGAAACCCGGCGTTTTGAGTCCAGTCATCGTCTACCGACATCTACAAGCCAAATAACACAATGTTTTACTGCTGGCTTGGCTAGTTGTGCAACAAAACCTTTATCCTTTGTATTCTCACCACCATTTGTAGTATTACCACACCAGGATTACAGCCTCGTTGTGAAATGATATACATTGAGGAACCAAAGATCTTTTTATTGATCAGTCTTGAACACCCGTTCATGAAAAAATCTCCATGAAGAAAAGCATTTACTTTCTAAACTGTACACTACTATATAACCTTTCTCAACCTAGACGAACGCCTCCATTGTCATTGAAATGCTATTTTGAAGTTTTCCAGAATGTATTTGGTAAAAAGTACGTCTAAAGCGAGGTGAAATTGAATGTTTGGTTGGCAATATCTTTACAGGGTATTACCACCCGCATGGCAACAAACTGTTTTCTTCTCTTGCCTGAAAATTTTTCATAAGAGGCTTAACAACTTTCCAAAGCATGTTAGATAGACCCTTCCCCTTCTTCAATTTCACTTCGTTGATCATTATTCTGGAAATCACAGTTTTGGTTAACTTGAAAAGTTTGTCCATGTTCATCAGAATTGGGAAATAACTTCTAAAATTATCTGCTTACCTCGATATTTTCGCTAAAAAACTAAAAGGGCCGCATTTTCCCAAAGCTGTATGATAAGTGATTTTTTTTATCTTAAGGTAGTGATAATCCCATTCCCTCACTTTCGTTTGACCTTGTCGCAGTTATTCAATAGACAAAGGACTTTCTCACAATGTCATCATTTTCGCTATAAATGTCGATGACTGACTGATGAAAAACAAAACAGGAATAATCCAACATAGTAACAAAACCTTTCTACAATCTTAAAGTCGATGAAGCTAGTTTGTGAAAAGAACTAAACAAATATCTGCATCGAGACAATTGAAAAAGAACTAGATTGGTTATATGTCTCGAGCACCCAACCTCTGCTTCGTCGAAGACATAAACATGTAAATCTAGAGTCACTGCCACCATAAAAAAATTCCTTCTCAAAGAAGAATCCGACTTTTAATAACATTACCGTCAGGCATCCTAACGAGCATCGAACACATCTATTTCCAAACCTCACAAGGAGGTCACGGTGACAACCACACGTTTTCATAGTCTTACTTACCTCTCCCGACATCTTGCACGGAATTCGAAATATTGGAAACAATATATTGAATATCGGATCAACTACGGCATATAAACACCATAGGATGAGGAAGCAGGTAGGTTGCTTCTAAGAAATGGAAAATTCACCACAGGGAAGTAGAATTCTTCATGCCTGTTAGTTTCGTATTTGGAAAAGATAGCGGTCAGCAGTTGATGTAGAAGAGTTTGTCCTGTCCTTGATTTTCAATCACGTTGTTTCTTTACGTGTTTTTCTTTGTTGATTTTAAATTAGACGTGGATGATCATATTCCGATCGGGTTTTTTTTCTTAATCGTATAATTACTATTCAAATCTAGAGTGTTAAATGTGTATGGGAGTGGTTGAGGTTGGATGGAAAGCAAGATGAAATAAGCTGTCTCGTAAATTTGGTCTGCTAATCAACCTTGTACATTACGGTAACTTGAAAGAACATTTTGATATACGGATTTTGATCCTTTGACCATGAGTATACGAAACCAAAACATAGCTCCCATGTTTCACGAAAATGTCAGGACTTTACTTTAGATACCAGGTCATTAATAATTACTAATTGCAAGAAAGACAACTTCAGCGTTGATGAAAATAATTAAAGGGCGATAACTCTTGTGTACTTCATGAAATAATGACTTCAACAGTACCGTGGATACAAGAACAGGTCATCATATGTGTTTGATCGGAAGCGCACCTTTTATGGTAAACTTATACAGATCACCAGCAATGATCTAAGTGTTGGTTTTTGTTCATCCTCAGACTCTTTTTTTCTCTTCGCTCTTTTTTCTTGGTTGCATTTCCTACATTCGTTAAATATCTTTATGCATTAAAATTGATCTTTATTCTTCGGGGCTTTCCACGCTAACCGGGAAGTTCTGCATATATCAGATGGGAATAACGCCATGCTTAACACATTATGCATATATATATAAACAGGATCACGTCATTGGATATGAATCTTAATCAATTTTGAACATATGTTACATTTTCATATTTTGTTTCCTTGGAAAGCCACCCAATACAATGTGATGAAATAGGATATGTCGAATTCATCACGCGAGAGTGTCTATGCTTCCATTTATCGGGAAAAAACATTTAAAAAAACGAAATTTTTACATCGATTTTGTCTTGTTTCCGAGTGTCGTATTTTGTTCGATGGTATTATATACTAAAATTAATTTTGCAATAGGTGTTTAAATACAGATCGAAGTGGCTTATGTAAACATCTGTACACCAAACTAATATTTTCCTCAAAATGTGACTTCATTACAATTTTCCGTGATGTACGTCATCGAGTCATCTTACGTCAATAAAAGACAAAACTTACAACTGGAAATTTTGCAAACCTTGCAATAATTTGGAATCATTAAAGACCATCAGACAGACGTTGTTGTCATGGCGATTACATTCATATACTTTCCATATCAGTGAGTTGAATCAGATGTATTTCATGCTCTACATGTTACCTTCCTTTATCGTTACTACAAACATTTAAAAAGGTGTTTCTCCATTTGTCATTAAGAGTACTTTCAACTGTCCAGAAAAATAACATCGACAACCTTCCACAAAGATGTATGATAAGCACGATTTCCTTTTTATGAATTTTCCCTTTCTGGATAGCAACATCCCCTCATTGCCAACCTGCGGTGTTTACAAATTACATTGGATTAGATATTCAACGGTCTGCTCCCATTATCATGAATTTCTTGCAAGAAGTCATCAACTGGCGGACAAATTCTCAACATGGGGTTTCAAAAGATGCAGGTGGAAGAAAATTATATAAAGGTCTTACGGTCGTCATAGTGATCTCATTGAGAAATGTTCTATTTCATTGTATGATAAGGATCTGGACGTGTTTGATGCCCCGTAGTTTGCCTGTTGGTCCGTTGTTGTATTCCTCGTTCGCATTTGGGAACGTGACATTACTTACTTGGATTTACTAAGGTATACATGGCGGGTGTCGTCGATGAAACAGAAGACGCTTACTCTTCCGGATCATTTGTCAAATACTCCTCGTATTCTTTCAGAAGTCTGCGTGTAATTTTTTTGTTTTTTTTGTTTTGTTTTTTTGTTTTGTTTTAGATTTAGTGAATTTGAGTTTGGGTTATGATTATGCTGACATGCTGTTGTTTTCTTGTTGTTGACAAATTTCAATGACAGAACCACAAAGTAAAGTGTCTACCACAAGGAAAAATAGCAAGAGGTTGTTTCCAACGCTTACATAGCACAGAGTGCTGTGACGGAAAACCAGTGAATTATAGACATGTCAATGTCTTGTAGGTTGAAGAACGAGGGCAAACGACAGGACAAGTTATGTAACTTTGGGAAACGTCAATAGTAGAAGGGAATTACCATCTAAAGAAATCGCTAGTGATCCTGTCCATTTTTGTGTATATTATATTGTCGAAAAAATTAAAACACACAAGAGAGAGAGAGAGTCAAACAAAACAGCAATATGGGGTTGGTCGCAGAAAAGTTCATTTTGACTGGCTCCTATGGCAAATCGTGTTTTGAAATGTCAATAAAGGCCAAACCCCATTAAATACAATCTTCATCATCATCTTTTTCTTCTTCTTCTTCATCATCATCATCATCATCATCATCATCTCTCTGTCATAGATGACGGTCAACACACAAGAAGACGAACTGGATTTTCAGAGAGAGAGAGATTAGAAGGACTCGGTAGGAAAAGAGGAAGTATGTAGACTGGAGCGGACGGACAGCATAAGCACTGTGGGGATGCGAAGAACACCGACTGAAATGTTAAGGATGCTGTATATCTGTATTCTGTTGCTGTTAACATTGATCTCAAAAAAGGGGCGCGCTAAAATTGGTTCTTTAATCAGTTTTACTATCATACGGAAGCCATGTTGCAAATGACGTCGTTTTTTTCATGCGGAGAAGCTCTAAGATGGGGACAAATCAGCGAGTGTTACGGAGTGTTTCAAAACGGAGCGAGTTCTGCTTCTTCGAACATAGCCGCCATCTGTAAATCTTGGTCAATCAAAGAAAATAAAGATAGGTTTTAGAAATATTTGACATTATGACGTCCGGTTTTCTG